TACCGCGGCCGCGACCGCGAGCCCGACGCCGACGCCGACCGCGACCGCAACCGCGAGCGCGAAGCCTCGCCCGGCCAGCCTGAGCCTACGGGCTACACGGGCATCGTCGTGGAGCTCATGATTCATAAGAGATCCAACGGCATCATGTACGAAACCAAGGTCGACGTTCGAGGCGGCCCCGGCTTCATGCCGGACTTTGAAGAGGGCCGCGGCCTCAAGCCCCGCCAGACGATGCGAGTCGGCAACTGCTGGCTGGGTCGTGGCCCGCAGCGCTTCGAAGACTTTGGCGACTGGAAGGAAAGGGCCGAGAAGATCATGGAGGCCGAGCTCGAGGGGACGAAACTTGAGACGCTCGATCAGAAACTCGCTTTCCAGACGGCGCTCGACCGCATCTTCGGCCCCGGCATCCACACTGTCAGTCTCCCCCAGCAGCAGGTCGAGATCAATGCCAGCGAGCTTGTTGCCCTCGGCGACGGCTCGCTGGGCGAGACTCCGACTCGACTCCAACTTCAGCGCTCGACACCCTGGCGCTCGCTCCCCGCCGCCGTCTGGGATCGCATCCCCAGCGTCTCGCTGCGTCCCGACGGCGGCGTCAAGCCCGGCATCGAGCTCAATGTCCCCGCCGGCCTCCGCCCCCGTTTCGCCCACTCGACGGCCCATCGGCTGCCCGCCAACTTCGACAACAACGCGATGGTGAAGGTTTTGCTTGCGCTCGTGGGCCGTGCCTTCGCCGGCTTCTCGCGCGAGGATAACCTGGCGTGGCTCGACGAGACGCTGGTCCCGGGCAGCTGGATCACATTCAGCCCGACGCCGCGGATCTTTTACGTGCGCGAGCACGCCGACTTTATCGTCGCCGTGACGGGCGTCGGCGGAGAAAAACTTACGAAGACCTTCGGAACCTACGAGAAGGATAGGATCGCAGCGTTCTACAGCGCTGTTCGCACCGCTTGCGACCAGCCCTGGGGCGCCGACCTCGAGGCCAACGAGGAGAGGTGAGTTCAGCAGACGTGGCCCCTCCGACCAGTGTTTCGAGGCCGCGCAGCAGCTGATCTCGTCATGGCTCGATTTCCCTTCGCTTCCTTTCGCTCTGCACCCTCAGGCTGCGCCGCGACTTTGCCGCTGCGGTTGCCGCGCACCCGGCCGGCCCGCACGCCCGCGTCTACCCGCACGCCACCGAGTGCGAGGCTGCAGTCGGCTCGTGCAGCCATGGCCGACACTCGTGCCGCGTGTGCAAGCGCGACGGCATCCCCTGCGACGAGTTCCACGGCGCAACGTGCGTGCGCTGCGACATCGCCTACTTCGTCCGCCGCGGCGCCATCGACGCCCGCAGCCACCCGGTCGGCTACACGGACGCGCAGCGAGCGCAGAGGCTCGGGGTGGCCAACCTTCGCCGCGGCTTCCAGTCCGAGGCCCTTACGGGCATGGCCACGCTGCCGACGCGCGGGGCGATGTCCGAGGACGGCCAGACCACGACCGACATCCTGACAGCGCTGCTCCGTGGCGAGAGGCCCTCGGCTGGCGACGACGGCTGGCCCGACCACCTGACCTACACCTTCCTCGAGGCCCTCCGCGACATCGAAACGACCAAGGCTCGCTGGACCCACCTCAAGGACCTCGTCATGGCTTTCGGCCTCTCGCGCGATCAGCCGTGCAAGTGGGACCTCACCCGCGAGCAGGCTCCGGTCTTCCACAGCGATGGCGTCCTCGACGACGTCACCTGGTGGTACAACGCTGCGAAGAACAAGCGCAGCCCCCTCGCAGTCGCTCTGGCGTTCGCGGCCGCAGCGCTTCACCACGCCGGCGACGATAGCCACCATGCGCGCCTGGCCGACTTGCTTGGCAGGATCGCGCCCGTCGAAGCGGCATGGAACCTGGGCCGCGGCTCGGGCCGTCTGCTCGCCTCGCGCATCTTCTCGGTCGTGTACGAGGACGGCGAAGACGACGGCATCATCCGCGACCTCGCTCGCCTCCCTACGGTCCCGCAGATCAGTCCTCGCCGCGCCGCCCCCGCCGTGAATGCGGTCTACCGCGAGCGCGCCGACACCTTCGACGCGGATATGCAGAGCGGCGGCACCGCGCAGCAGGCATTCCACGTCCTGGATCGGAGCTTCCGCACGGCCGAGCTCGTTGACGAGGCCATCCGGCCTTCGTCTAAAACCACCGACCTCATCCCGGTCATCGAGGAGGTCTTCGGCCACCTCGAGGCGATTGGCGCCATCTCTCCGGCCGACCGCCTGCGCCCCGATTCCGCCTTCCCGGGCCTGTGGTGGGCGGGCGACGAGAGCGTCGGCCCCGAGGACATCCTCGTGATGGCCTTGCGCCTTCTCGTCCAGCTCATCTTTTTCTGCGATTGGGTACAAATCACGTGCACTATCGAGGTCACGACGGGCTCGTTCACGAGCATCGTCGTGAGCATCATGGTCTTCCTCGCGGTCCATCGACGCACGGACGCCTTGACGGGCCTTCCGATTGGTCCGTTCCCTCACAACCACCCTCTCCGCCTGTCCTTGGGGCACGACAACCATGCCTTCACGGCCAACGTGCTCGCTCCCTGCATTCCGGAGCTCGATGCCGGCAACCCGACACGCCAGACGGCCGAGGCACTCGTCCGCCTCGTGCGCTCGACTGCGTACAACGTCCGCCTCGAGAGCCCGCTCTCGAACTTTGCGGTGAAGCGCTGGCGCGCCTCGACCCTTCACGCGATGGTCGACTCGATCCGTTCTTGGCTGGCTCGCATCAACGGCAAGCTCGGCTTCCTCCCCGGCGTGCGATTCAACACGGCTCCTCGACGTGTCCTCGAGGGATTGGAGCGCAACTATGTGCCAGAGAGCGAGGTCGAGGCCGTGATGCTCGAGATCCTCGCCGAAGAAGAGGAGGACGACGACGATGCAGGAGACGAGAGGGCGGAGCTTGGAGGCCAAACCGGAGTTTGAAGGACGACAGACCCGCTGTCGGTGAGGTCACCGAAACGCTGTCCAGGCGATGTTAGGGAGTCGATCAGTGGGCCGGAGCAGGACGACAAAGGAGGGAAAGCAGGCAAGATGGTAGGGCCCACTTTATACCGCCGAACGAGCGGTCTTTTTTGATGTACCAAGCTGCCGCAACGACCGCATCTACCAACACAGCACAAGTAGGGCAGCAAACACCCGCCTCGCGGCGCCTCGCGGGCTACCTCGTGTTGCGCTTCCGTAGTTCCGTTGAATGCATGCCTAGCCCCTTGCTGCGAATCTCCGCCCGCACCGGATGTCTGTGAGGCGTTCACGCAGCAGCAAATTCGCTCTGCGCGCATGCTGCACACGCAAGGTATGGCCATGGAGCCTGCAGTCATTGCACGTGCATGGCCCCGATCATCGGTGCGCAGGTTCAGGGGTTCGGTAAAGATCTGTCCAGAACGCACCGGTCTCCTTAGCGTGCACCTCTTCCTCTTTGACCAGCAAGCCTCAGGATGCCTCAGCGTCTTCTCGATGCTCTTCCAGATCGCGGGCCGCTGGCGCAGTCCGCCCCTTGGCAACATCAGTGCGGTCTGCAAGTAGTGTGACCTTGCAACGGGCCTAGAATCGGCCCTTCAAGGCGTGGCCACAGAAGCCGCCAATCTTGATCCATGCCAGTGTGCCGCCTGTGAAGAGGACAAGGCGTGCACGAAGCGTGATGGACTTGCCGTTGATCTTGACATCGATGCCACTCTCAAGCACGAGCAGATTGTCGACGAGCGGTCGCAGCAGCTGCGGCAATGCAACCACTTGGGCTCAATGGGAACCAGGAGTGATTGCTGGTAGGTGTACATTTGACGTCTGCAGCAGCGGTGTACAAGCAGGCACAGCACGCTGTCAGCTGCTGCAGAACAAGTCACGGGGGAGGCTCTGCAAGAGCACTGACACAGCAGGAAACTCACCCTATACCAAAGCTCGGGCGGCAGGTTGAGGATGGTCACAAACATCGGCCCACAGGAGCAGGAGGCGGATGAAGTCTTGTACGGCTTGAACCGGTCGATGGAGAGGCCGAGAGCGAGGTTGATGCCGTCGCCGTTAAGACAGGCAGATGCCTGCTTCCATCGAGAGCCGTCAGAGATGTCGGCAAGCTGCTCGGAGGACAACCGCCGCTCTTTCCTGACATTGATTGCGGCAAGGGAGCCTGGCCGAGCAACGAAGTCTTGTAGCCATCTTGCCAGCGAGTCGTAGTGCAGTTGGAGGCGCGGCCGGGTGTCCCGGAGTGTCGCGCTGCGGTCAGCGCCACCTGAGACAGCGAGGCGGCGAGGAGGGCAAAGAGCCGTTGCGCAATGCCGGCAGATCTCGCTGGTGTAGCAATGCAGCCTGCTGCAGTTTGAACAGACGGCGTATGGCCTGAATGGCTCGTTCAGGCCAACGGCACTCCAAAGGCCTTGATTGCTGGTGGGCACCGCACAGACGTCTTCAGGCAGGCTGTTGCTGACAAGCAGGGGGACAATCGATGCATTGAAGAATCACAAGAGCATGGTAGAGCCGGTTCGGGAGAGGGAGTCGTGGTTTACAAGCTGTGCGACCAAAAGCTGGAAGTCTCTTGTGCTTTTGTGGAATGAGTGAGGGGACACTAGAGAGGCACCTAGCTAGCCACGCTGGGTACTTAAAGTTGAGTGCAGCCGGAACTTTGGATGAAGAGTGTCACAAGTGAGAAAGGGGGGAGGTTGAGGATTACCTGTCAACCTTGCCTGTGTTCATCTGTGGGGCAAGTGTTATGCCCTTGGGGTCTTGGATACCGCGGGCGGCCAAGGACGGTGTAGGGCTTGCGCAGAGAGGTCAGGGATGAGGAGGAGTAAGGATATCGATGCTGTACCAGTCTCTAGTGGTAAGAGGATATAGTGCATTCAACAAGGAGACCACCAGAAGCCTCCTCGGGAACCTGGAGACTATATACTAGCTCCCTCGATATCCCTCCGTTGCTGAGGGGCCGGCTGCGGCAATTGCCGCTCGGCTCCGCCGTCCGTCAGCCCTTCCTCGGGACTCGGGCACCCGCGGGGCATGTTGGGCAGCCGCCTAACAAGTTGCTGTGCAAAAACAGTGGCCATCATGGATGCTCTGATGAGATGAGTTCATCATCCAGGTTGGACCACATGAACATGGTCAGCAGTAGTGGCAACAAGCAAAATACTGGACAGCCCTGCAGCACTTCTAACATGAAACAACTGTGCTGGTCTAGCCTTGAGTCCTCAACAGCTGCATAGCTCATGCTGCTTCACATGTCATCATGCTTGGCACAGAAGATGTGCTCATCTCAGCATGGCACCTCTGCAGCTGCACCATGTGCTATCTACCCAGCCTTGAGTGCTGATGCTGAATCTCTTGCTGCACTCCTGAACCAGTCTGCACATGTTCATCAATGTTGTGGTCAGTCAATCATCTGCTGTGCCTTGCTGTGCTGATGTCAACCATCGGCAGCATCATGGTTTCCTTGATGGCAGCGAGCCCACAGTCTGGCCAGACTCTCCTCTGCAGCAGTCCTTTGAAATTCTTGAGCGGGCTTGATGCCCACCTGGCTCTGGCCTCCACACCGGGCCCACGGACGGCTGCGAGGATTTTTTCGGACGCGGGGCAGCCCGTGGCTCGACCCTCATCTTCGACACACTTTGCAGCAAGCCATCACCATCGCTTCATCGCGCCGTCCTCACGCTTCCCTGTCGCAATCCTTCTTCCGTTGCTACACTCCCGCTCGGCACAAAACGAAGCGAAATGGTGAGTCGTCGAGCCTGACCACAGTGCAACGACCCGTCGCATCGACCGGCCCTCGTCTGACCGCCCCATGCCGTCCTTGCTACCTGCACGTCCACAGTCACGCATCGAGCTGCTCAACGCCGGCGGGTATCGCGCCGACGGGCGGAAGCAGCACGAGCTGCGCTCGATATCGATCCGGATCGGCGGCTCTTCCGACCCCGCTGCCGACGGGTCGGCGACCGTCACACAGGGGCTGACGATTGTCTCTGCGACAGTGTTTGGCCCGCGCGAGGCGAGGCTGGCGAGCAATGCGCTGCACGACCGGGCGACGGTCAACGTCGAGGTGTCGCTGGCTCCGTGGGGTGCCATGGACCGGAGGAAGCGCAACAAGGGCGACAGGTGAATCCCAGGTGTGGCGCGAGGCGGCAAGGACGGCTGGACGCTCTGCTGACGATGGCGGCGTTGCGTTCCCTCCGCGACACAGGCGGCTGGTCGAGTTTGCAAGCTCGGTCAAGTCTACATTCGAACCCGTCATCCACACGCACCTGTACCCGCGGTCGCAGATCGACATCTTCATCCAGGTCCTGCAGCAGGACGGGGGTGAGTAGCGTGCGCGGGTCGGCCAGGTGCTCCCCTCGCCGAGGCCTCCGCCGTCTGACGAAGGCCATGCCGCCCATCCCCTTCCTCTCTCCCGCGCTCCCTCCGGCATCGCAGGCATCCTCCCGGCGGCGATCAACGCGTCGACGTTGGCGCTCATCGATGCGGGCATCGCCATGTCCGACTTTGTGACGTCGGTCTCGTGCGGCATCCACTCGACGTCGCCGCTGCTCGACCTCAACAATACCGAAGAGTCGGACCTGCCCAACATGGCCGTCGCCGTGCTGCCACGCTCGGGCAAGGTGACGCTGGCCAGCCTCGAGACGCGCCTCCACGTCGAGCGCTTCGAGGAAATCTTCCGCCTAGGCATCCAGGCCTGCTCGGTGCTGCACCACGAAATGGAGCTGGCGGTGCGCGACCGCACCAGGGTGCTCGTCGATGCCGTCAAGGGTAAGGTGGGCGAGCGGAGAGATGGCGGCGACGACGGTGTGGACGAAGAGGACGGCCTCGATGCCGAATCGATATGATCGTCGGGCGTGCGCGATTGCGCCGCCTCTTTGTTCCACAGGCACCCACACGTACGCGCGCACACACGATACCCAGCGCGCGGACAAAGCGAGCGTCACTCTAATCACGGCATGTCATTGCGGTCGCCACGTCGGTCGCCACCTCGGTCGCCTGGGACGGGCCCCACGGCCTCAGAGCTTGGCGCGCGGGCCCGACTGCTGGCCGCCTTGCAGCTCGGCGTACCGCTTGGCGGTGGCCTCCTTGACGACGGCGCGGTCGACCTTGCCGCTCGGGTTGCGCTCGAGCGGCTCGTCGCGGATCCAGACAAACTCGGGCATGGCAAACTTGGGGAGGAATTTGGCGGCGGCGGCGAGGATGTCGCGCTCGGTGGGGCGGTCGTGGCGCAGGTTCTCGGGCTTGGGGATGCACACGACGGCCACCTTTTCGCCCAGCCTGGCGTCGGGCACGGGCACGGCGGCGCAGTCGAGGATGCGCTTGTCGCCCTCGTAGATGGCGTTTTCGACCTCGGGCCCCGAGATGTTCTCGCCGCCGCGGATAATGATGTGCTTGGACCGGTCCATGATGTAGACGAAGCCGTCGCGGTCCATGCGCGCAATGTCGCCCGACTTGTAGAAGCCGTCGGGCGTAAACACCTCGCGCGTCGCCTCGGGACGGCCCCAGTAGCCCAGCGCCACGTTGGGGCCCGACACCCACAGCTCGCCCGGCTGGCCGCGCGGCACCTCGCAGCCCGTCTTGGGGTCCATGATGACAATCTGGTTGACGGGGGCCGGCGTGCCCGTGCTCGTCGGCCGGTTGACAAAGTCGTCGACGCCCAGGCCGCCTGTCGTGGGGCGAGACAGGAGGGCAGGCGCGGGGGGGGCGGTCAGCAAGAGGCGACTCGCCGGTGGGGACGGGACGGGGCACGACCGCAGGCCGGCGGTGCACTCACAGACGGAACCGTTGGTCTCGGTGGCGCCGTAGCCCTGCGCGATGAAGCCGTTGGGCGACTTGGCCTTGAACTCTCCCGGAATCTCCTTGGCGCTGGTGCTGCCGCCGAACGACACGCCCGTCAGCGACGGAAACTCGTGCTTGCTGGTGATGAGCTCGCGCACCATGAAGCCGATGCCGACCATCGAGTTGATCTGGTGCTGCTGGATCACGGCGGCGGCGGCGTCGACCGAGTACTTTGGCATCAGCGCCAGCTTGTCGCCCTTGAGCGTGATGGCGGCCATGCAGCTCTGGATGCCCGTCGAGTGGAAGAGCGGGACGAGCAGCAGCACCGCGCTCTGCTGGTCCGAGGGCGCCGGGAGGGGCAGGTTGCGGCGGAGCACCGAGCGCGCCGGCTGGTAGAGGCCGATCATGTGCGGCACGAGGAACTGGCGCTGCGTGGCGCACACACCCTTGGGCCGGCCCGTCGTGCCCGAAGTGAACAGCACCGTGGCCAGGTCCTCGGGCACCATCTTGGGGTCGGCCAGGTCCGAGTGCGAGGCGCCGGCGTGGCGCCGGCTCATGTCGTCAAAGTCGAGCACCTGCTTGCCCCAGCGCGATCCGATCCACGGGCGGCTCCCCTGCGGCACCACGCCGTCAAATGCCCGCGGGATCACGGCAACGCCATAGAGACCGCCGTGCGCCCCCGGCACACAGCCAAAGTCGTCGACGGCGTCCTTGGGCGCCGGCCCAAAGAGCTTGCCGATGCAGTCGGCCTGGTGGACGCGCTGGTAGCGCTCAACGTCAAAGATGGCCGCCTTGCAGCCGACGTCGCGGATGCAGTGGTAGATGGCGCTGCCCTCGAGGAACGCATTGACGAGGGCCGCGACGCCGCCGAGGAGCGCGACGGCCCAGAACGAGATGATGTACTCGACGTGGTTGCGCGCCACAATGGCCACCCGGTCGCCCTTCTGCACGTTGAACTCGCGGGCGAGGCCGGCAGCGACGGCAACGACGCGGGCGTGGATCTCGTTGTAGGTGTACGTTTCCCCCTCGGCGACGATGTAGGTGCGCGCGCCAAACGTCTGCAAAGGAGAGAGCACAGCAGGGCAGGCCAAGACGACGGGCATGGTCAGCGGGGGCCCGAGATCCAGGTTCATCAGGCCCGGCCCATTCCGTGCTGCAAGCTACTCACCTTGACCGTGTTGAGCCAGCCGTCTCGGAGCGAGGGGCACTGGTTCTTCCAGACGCGGGTGATGACGCCGCGGATCTGCCGATGCTCGACTTCAAACGGGCTGCCGGGCGACGTGAGGAGCGAGTCGACCTGCACCATCGACCGCAGCTCCGAGTCCTTGACGACTCCGGGAAACTCCATGGCGGCGTTACTGATTTCGTGAGGGCAGGGATCAAAGTGAAGAGGAGGGAGAGCGAGCGAGCGGACGAGCGGGGCCACTTCTCTATGGAGGCGCTGATAAGTCAAACGGAGGCGGGGATGGGAGCAGAAAGAGGGGAGGATGAGCGAGTCGAGGTGAGGAGGGATCGGAGAAGCCGCCAGTGCCCCTGGCCGACCGGAGTCGATCGCCTTATGAAGCAACCCGGCGCCACCAGGCCTGGCCGTCGACGTGGGACCGGCCGACGTCCAAAGGGGTCCAAGTCCGTCGACCTCGCGGGCGGCAGGCCTGCCCTGCGCTGGCCCAGCCAGCCAACCGGCAGAGACGGCGGCCTGCCCTCGTCTCGGCGAGCGGAATAGCCGGTGCGGGCGCGGGGTGGAGGTTGCCGCAGGCAGACAGAAGGGCGACAGGCCGGCAGCCTGGTCGGCCGACCGTTTTGCGGGGAAGATGCCGCCGTCCCCACAGCCGCTCGCCCAGCCCAGCTGGCAGCCCAGCGGCCATCCTCTCTGACTTCCGGCTGCCAAAAAGTGGGCCACGCCCTTGAGCCGAAACTCCGAACCTGGCTTTCTTGCTTGCCTGCCTCGTCTGTTTGCAGCAGGCTGCTAGCCAGCCTATGTCTCGACGATCTCGACTGCAATGACGACGACAACAGCGACGACGACGACGACGACGACAGCGACGACGACGACGACGAGCGCAAATGACAGCGACGGGACCGCCGACAGAGTCCATGGTAGCCTTGGCTTGACAGGATGCGAACCCAGCGGGCACGGCCCGAAGCCGCAACCCGGCTTTCTCTCTGTCCTGCTATCTTCCGTGGAAAGGGAGGCAGGCAGCGGCGTCCGCCTCGAAGCACCGCAGTCCAACGCTCCTGCAGCTGGCCAGCAACGACGGCCTCTCCGTCCATGGCCCCCGACCATCAGCTCTTTTGCCTGTCCTTTGCGCTCAGACTCGTCTCCTCTCCGCTCGTGGATGTTTGCATCGCCATCGTCTTCTCGTCACACGGCTCCTTTCCGCTTGAGGACCCACGAACCGCCATTTAGCCATCTCTGAGCACACCGGGGGTAGACATCTTCGTCGTGCTGTCGGAGTAGATGCCGTCGATGCTCGAAGCTACACTAGGGTCGACCGACGGCGAGCGCCATCTGCGAGTCGCCAGGCCTCGAGCCCGCCTGCCCGAGCAGAGGCAGCTGCCACGCGACGGAACAGATCCGATGCGGAGCGGCAGAGATTGGCTGATCTGCTACCGCTTGCTTGTCGCCAGCGCTCGCCTCCGGGCGCCATCCGAAGGCAGATTGAAGCTCGGCGGATAAGCAACAGGAAGCTCGGTCCAGCGATGCTGAAAGGCTGCGTGCGGTGCTCAGGAGCATGCGATGGACACGGCTGCGTACGTACTTCGCCCGCGAGGTCGAACAACAACGTACCGGCGCGCAGGGCTCGTGCGAAGGATCGGAGACAGGCCGCCGGCGCCCTCGCACGGGTCAGGTCAACGAAGCCCCGCGCGAAGCCGACTGCCAGGCCTGGCCTGGTCGTGCACAGATCGAGCTCTCTTTTTTTTCGGGAGCGAGATCGCCCTCGCACCCATCCGCGCAGGCTAGGTGCGTGCGTGTTTCAGCCAGGCCTGGAAAAGTAACACACGCACCGCCTGGCTGGCCTGGCCTGGCCGGAATTGACCTGAGCTGCCCGGCCAACCGCCTCGCTCGCTCGCTTGGCCTGGCCCGCCTGGCCTGCCGGGTGCGCGCACCGACCGTTCCCCTTGCGTCGGTCGCCCGTGCCCTTGGCTCGACCGCCATCGATCCGAGTCTCCTCTCCTCGGCCCCATCGTCCACGCATCAACCCCAACCGACCCACCCTCCATCGCCAGCGTCCGTACTCTCCCAGACCACCACGACCTTCTGGCGCCATTCCATCGACCACGTAAACAGCCAGACTCACAACACCGCCGCCTCGATCGCTCTCCTCTGCTGCCACGACCTTGCACCCGCCGCATCCATCATGTCTGACGTCGAGGCCACGTCCTCGGTGCCTCCGTCAGAGGAGCCGCCGAGCTCGCCGCCGCCGCAGTCGAGCGACGGCATCCACGACCAGAGCCTAGACCAGTCCAACGATGACGCTGCCAATGGCACAGCTCCCGCCAGCCACGACGACGACATCAACTCCTCGTCGTTCGAAAAGGGGGCCGGCCCGGAGAGCGAGCATTCATCGTCGGAGAAAGAGGCCGGTCAGGACGAGAGCGATGCTCCTGCAGCCAGTGCTACTGCAGCTTCCGATGGCGCTTCGTCTGAAAAGGCAGCCGCTGCTCCCGGCGCCAAGTCACCCAGCGTGGCTTCCGTGAGGAGCACCACCACCCCTGGCGTCGTCAGGAAGCCTGTGGGCGCGACTGCCGCCACGGCTGCCACAGCCACAGGCGTCCGGAAGGTGGCCGCTCCGGGCACTCGGCCGGGCACCACGGCGGCACGACCCGGTGCCGCTGGCACCACGGCTGCCACCACCAGAACCGCTGCTGCTCGGCCCTCTGCCGTAGGCTCGGCCCGACCCGCCGCTAGCACCACTACTGCCACCGCGACTCGCCCGGGTGTCACTGCTGGAACCGCTGCAGCACGCACTACTGCTGCTCCGCGCAGCTCCGTAGCAGGAGGCGTCGCCCGACCTCCTGTCGCTGGCACTGCAGCGACGCGCACGGCCGCCACTCCCGGCGCCTCGACCGCGACTGCGCGCCGGGTGTCGACTGCCCCCTCCTCTAGTGGAGCAAGCACGGCTGCCGGAACGTCGTCTCCTGCGCGCGCATCGACGACCGCCGCCTCGTCAGCCGCCGCCGGCACCCCAGCGAGGCGAGCAGTCGGCACGACTGGCACCACCGGCGCTGCCGTTCGAAAGCCACCCGTCTCGGGGATGGCCCCTACCGCGTCGGCGGCCACCAAGCGCCTCTCGACGTCCGGCTCGACCTCCACTGGTGCTCCCGCCTCCACCGCCGCCGCCCGCGTCCGCAGATCGAGCATCACGAGCACAAGCACTGCCGGAGCCCGTCCCAGCATCTCTGGCCGTCCAAGCGTCACTACCGCCGCCCGACCCGGCACCACCACGACCACCGCTGCCGGCGTACGGAAGGTCGCTACTCCCGGCACGACTACTGCCTTGTCCAAGGAACTGCAGGAAAAGGTGAGTCTCGGGGCAACACACGTTCATAGACGGGCTCGGTGCATGCTGACGCATCTAGTATCGGTCGGCCCACCGACTCGTCGCATTCCCATACTAGATCACCAAGCTCGAGGCCGAGATCGCCGAGCAGAGCGAACAGCTCAACCAGCTCAAGGGAGAGCTCGAAACCAAGGACGAAGAGCTGCAGGCCAAGACTGTCAGTCTCTCGGCGGCCGAGGCGAAGCTGGCTTCCTTGCCGTCCAGTGGCGAAGGCGATCCCGCGGCTCAAACAGAAGGGAGCGATGAAAAGTCGGCTCAGCTTCAGGCCCGCATCGAAGAGCTCGAAACCGAGCTCGAGAAGGCCAAGGCTGTCGCCGACAACGCGGCTGCCACCGAGGCGCTCGAAAAGAGCCTCGCCGAGAAAGATGCCGCCGTCACCGAGGCAAACGACAGGATTGCGGCCCTCGAGGCCGAGGTGCAGACGACCAAGGAGAGCCTCGAAGCCGAGCAAAAGTCCTCCGCAGCTGCCACGGCAAAGGAGTCTGGCGACAAGGACCTGTCCGCTGAGGTTGATCAGCTCAAGGCGCAGATCGAGGAGAGCCGAGCCACGATCGACAAGCAGAGCGAGCAGATCACGGCGCTCCAGGCTCAGCTGCAAGACAAGGAGACTGCGCTGGCCACGGCCCAGAAGGATGCCGAGGGCTCGGCCGCTACGCAGACTCGCATCGATGAGCTCGAAGCCGAGCTCGAGCAGGCCCTGTCGGCTCTCGAGCAGGCGCGTAAGGATTCCTCGACCGCCGGAGAGGCCGGCGCTGCCGACCTTACGGCAAAGGACAAGCTGATCGAGGAGCTGCGGAGCAACATCGAGGATCTCGAAAAGGCCGCCCAGGACCTCGAAGAGAGTCACAAGTCCAAGCTGGCCGAAGCCGTTGCGGCGGCCGAGGCGGCGGCCCTCTCCAAGTCTTCGAGCGCACACTCCGAGGCGCTCGACAGCCTGCGTTCGGAACACGCGTCGGCCAAGGACGCCGCGGTGGAGGAGGCCCGCAAGCAGCTCCAGACTGAGCATTCGGCTGCCCTCGACAAGGCGCTCGACGAGGCTCGGTCCGAGCTTTTCGCCCGCCACGCCAAGCAGCTCGAGAGGGCGGTGCAGGAGGCTATCGCAAAGAAGACCGAAGAGCATGCGCAGGACCTCGAAGCGGCCAAGAAGGAGACAGAGACATCGGTCCGCGAAACGCTCGACGCCGAGCATGCGACGGTGCTCGGTGGGCTCAAGGACGAGCACGCGAGCAAGCTGGAGGAGGTGCACTCCGGGCACGCCACTGCTCTCGAGCAGGCGAGGCAGGACGCCGAGGCTCAGCGCAAGGCGGAGAGCGACGCAGCCGAGGCCCGCCACAAGGAGCTGCAGGAGGAGCTGAGCCAGGTCAAGACCGAGCTCGCCTCGCAGGAGTCCAAGTACCAGGCCCAGGTGGACGAGGTCAAGGTCGAGCACCAGCGCAAGCTCGAGGAGGCGTTCGACGCAGCCCGCGCCGAAGCGGGCGACTCTCACTCGGTCGATCTTCAGACTCTCAAGGAGCAATCGGCCCGCACCGTCGAGCAGCTCCGCAAGTCGCACGCCGAGGAACTCGACTCGCTGCGCAAGAGCCACGAGGCAGTCCTCTCGGACATGGGCGAGCAAGGCGGCGCCGAGTCCAAGAAGCTCCAACTCGACCTCGTCGCAACCCAGACTGACCTCAAGAAGGTCAAGGAGGCACTGACCCAGACCGAGAAGGAGCATCAGCTGGCCGAGGCGCGCGTCAAGGAGCTCACCGAGGCGCTCGAGGCGGCCAAGTCGGACTCGGCGCGTGCTGTCGAGGAGTCGGGCAAGGCGGGGGCCGACGAGCTGGCCAAGCTGCGCAAGCAGCTTGCAGAGCTGTCGACCGAGCTCGAGGAGACCAAGACGGCGCACAACCAGAGCCAGGCTGCCTTTGTCGACCAATTCGAGTCGATCGGCAAGTCGCACGAGGACGACAAGAAGGCGCTCGTCGAAAGGCACGTCCAGGAGATGGAGGCGCTCCGCAAGAGCCACGACGAAGACCTCAAGGGCTTCCAGGAGAAGAACCTCAGCGACACCGGCAGGCTGATGGTGAGTTACGAGCGCGCGGTGTGCACATCGGGACACAATTGGCGCTGGAGGCTGACGTCGACGGGCTGGATTCTGTTTCGCCCGCCGCTCGACCGACGACAGGACCTGCAGGACAAGCTCAACGACGTCGAAAAGGCGCGCGACGCCGCCATCACCGAGGCCAAGGCCGCCAACGCCAAGCTGGCCGCGGCGCTCAAGGATCACCAGGTCCAGAACGGCGGACCGGACGACACGACCGAGCTCGAAAAGGTGAGTGTCCGTCGGCCGCGTGCTACATTGCACCCCTCACCTCGCATCCGATCTCTCGGAGCTGACCCTGCGATCCGTCATGCGCACCTCCTCGGCCCTCTTGCAGCTGCACCGCGCCCACACCGAGAAGACGTCGCAGCTCCTGTCGCAGCACGCCGAGCAGCTGCGCCGACTCGAGGAGCTCAAGCAGGCGGCCGAGGGCAAGGTCGAGGGCCTGGAAAAGGAGCTGAGCAACGCCAAGATGGAAGTCCAGTTCCTCACCTCCGAGACCGAGGACGTCGAAGCGCTCAAGGCCGAGATCCGCGAGCAAGAGGCCAAGATTGCCAAGCTACTCTCGGCCCAGGCCGAGGCCCAAGCCTGAGTTGGTGGTACGCGGCAGGGCGGATAGGCGGGCAAGCAAGCTTGCAAGGACAAGGCGCCCTCCCGTTTTCTTTCTTTTCATACATAGGGCTACAGGCTGGCGGTGCGGCTCCCTGGGCGTCGTCGTTCGAAGGACGAGGAGGCCAGGGCAGGCCACCGCCGAGCGTCGGGAGGCGAGTGTAGTAGGTTGTTGTTGTACATGGGTGCGTGCGCGCCGAGACGAGAGCGCGGCAGACTAGATTGATTATGATGTTTCGGCGAACAGTCCCCGTCGAGGAGGGGATCAAAGGAGCGACGAGCGTTCTCTCCGACCCGGCCTAGAAGGCCTCCTCGAGCGACTTTGCCACCTTGACGTGGTAGAGGGCGCGGCTGAGTTCCTGTGCATTCGACAGGGCCGGGTGCCGGTCTCCGGTCGACTGCGTATCCGTCGTCGTGTTGTCGGTGGGGATGCCTGGTCCCGACGGCGGTGCCGCCGTCGACGTCGCTGCTGCGGCAGAAGCAGTATGGCTGGCAGAACGAGGATGGTGTAACCCCGCGCCGTCCATGTCGACGACGATGTCCTCGCCCTTGGCGGCCGCCGCCGCGGCCGCCGCCGATTTGGCGGCGCCCGTGGAAAAGATCGAGTGCGACATGATGACGGTGGCGTATTTTTCGATAAACTTTTCGGCCGTCTCCAAGAGCCCTTCGTCCTCTTTGGCCATGAGAAAGGTGCTGCGGCGCTTGACGAGGGTGAGGAGGAGCCCGGCGGCGTGGCCGAGGAGAAAGTGGTAGAAGTTGGGCAGGTAGCCCAGCCGGTCGCCGAAGCCGTGGGTGCCGGTGCGCGTCGCGAGGCGGAGCGCAAAAACGGCCGAGTGCTTGGCCGTTGAAATGGTGCGCAGCTGCGCGATGGCCAGGCGCGTGTCGTTGAGGTTCGACGAGTGCTTGAGCGCCAGGTGCGTCTCGTCGAGGATGCCCAGCTCCGGATCCAGCGGAAGCGAGGCGAGGAAGGACCGGGAGAGGTGGTAGAGGAGCGAGAGGTCGATCGACGTCTCGGTTGGTCGCGACAGGTCTGGCAGGGTGGGCGAAGGGGTCGACGAAAGAGGCAGGGGACGTCAGCACGGCTTCTTGGGCCTCGGTCGCTAGAGTGCCGCCGACCGCCGGCGTCTGGCTGCACCCGCGACTCACCTTCGTGCTGCGCAGTGACGAGCCTCCACCGGTTGAGCTCCTCGAGCCACTCCCTCCAGCGCTCCACGAGCTGCCGCGCCTCGTAGATGACGGCATCGCGTCCCGCCAGGCCCTGCGGCGAGTTGGCCTTGGCCAGCGCGATCTTGCGTTTGGCGTTGCGCTGGATCTCCTGGCCGGCGAGGATGATGGACATCATGCGCGCGTGCGCCACCAGCTGCCGATCCGACGCCAGCGCCTGCGAAGGGCCCGACGCAGAGCCGATGGCCATCGAGCCGCCGTGCGTGGGCGCAGAGCCGGAAACGCCGCCGCCGCCGCCGCCCTTCTGGTCGTGGCTCTTTGGCGAGTTGAGCAGTCCCTCGCAGTATTGTGCCGGGTTCGAGTCTGGGATCAGCGAGGGGACGTCCTGCATCACGGCCTGTTGCGCTTCCGCGATCTGTCGAGTCGGTGGAAGGAAGCGACACAGGGTCGAGTCAGCGTGCGCTCGCCGGGCCGGCCATTCACGAGCGATGGCAGGTCAAACGCGGCGACTCACATACGACATCAGCCAGATCCGCAGCTTCTCGACGAGGTCGATCTGCCGGAACGGCGGCAAGATCGTCATCCACTCGCCCAGCGTCTGCGCCGACCGCACCTCAAAGTGCTTGAGATAGGCGACGGCCCACCACCTTGCTATCCGCGCAATCTTGAACGCCGTCCTGCCGCCGAGCCAGCACGCCGCGAGGCAGGCCCCCGTGATCTCCTCCACACCGATGCCCAGCTCCGGATCCAGAGCGCTGTCCCGGCAGATCTCCTGGTCCACGTTTAGCGCCGCGAAGGCCTCGTGCCGGAACCGGTCGTGGAGGTGTCGTGTCGATGGCTCATGCATCGCCGACACCATCAGGATCGATGCGATGATGAGCGGCGTCATGCTCTCGCCCGCTGGATACGAGGGGAAGCCGAACGAGTGCGGCTGCAGATGCCGTGCAAAGCTGTAGGGCGGAGATGTGAAGCCCGGGCCACGAGGGGTGAGGATGTCAGCGCCGACCACTTTTCTCCGACCGTGAGGCGAGCGTGCAGGACCGACTCACAACATGAAGAGATGGCGCGCGATCTCCATATCGACCAGACCCATGCTGATGACCGTGAGGCGTGGGTCCTCTCTGCCAATGTACCGCGAGGGCCGAGCGTACGGGCTGGTGGCCGCAATTGAGAGATACTGCTCCGCCGGCGTCTGACGCAGGTCGGCCCCGTAGTTGACCGGCTCCTGCGCGAGAGCGATGATGCCCGACGGTCTCGTCTGGTCCGCCTCGGAGTTGGACAGCTGACCTTGCCCGTCAGGTCCGGGCCGTATCGAGCTGCTGCTCGGCCCAGTGACGCGTGGCTGTCCCTGCAGGCCGCGCATGGGCGCCTCTTTCTGGCTCAGCAGTCCGCTGGCGCCGTCGAAATCGAGATAGCGTGTTGCTGAGGACTGGACACCGTTGCCGCCGATGTTGCGGTCAGGCTGACCGACGAAGCTGTTGGACCGCTCTCCGTTGGACGGGTACCGTGGCGATACGAGACTGGCCGTCGATCCGGGCGTCCCCTGACCCCTCTGTTGTGGTGGTGGGTATGGATGCTGAGGTTGCGAGGATGCCAGGGTGGACAGAGCATGCCGCCGTTCAGCACGAATGCCCAACGCTCGGCATCGGCCTACAAGCAGGGAGGGGCGACTCACGTATGCATTCGAGGCCGGGCCTTCGAAAAAGGGGCTCTGTTTTCCGATGCCGCGAGGAGACCGGGGCGAGGAAGTCGAGGCATGGAAAGCATCCATTCGAGAGTGGCTTGGCCCTGGCAAGCCCGGCGTCGCGCCGGAGCTGGAGCCTTCGCGTTGGTGGTGGTGCTGCATGAGGAAGTCGACGTTGCCCTCGAGGCGATGGATGGTGTCGTCTGTGCGCTCCCTCCAGTCCTCGTCCTGCATGTGCACGAGCAAGAGAGGCAAAGCAGAGGTGTCAGCGCTGTGCACAGCATCTCTGACAGCTCTCCGGGCACCCCATCAGGCGCTCACATCGGCTCTCAGTCTGAACTTGCACTCGGACTTGGTGTCCTGGCACCTCTTGCATGGTGGGCCGCCCTCGTGAATGCATTTGACCTGCGGAGGTGTCACAGAATGGGCATGCGTTGGGCTGGCGGGAGCGTCGTCAGCTTCGGCGTCATTCGGCACGGCAGCTCAGGGACGGTGGTGTTAGACGTACCTTTGACCTTCTGCACAGAACGCAAGCCTTCTGGGGCTTGACGAGCGGCTTGGGTGCCGGAGGCATGGGTGCAACCTTGCCAGCGAGCCGAAGATCTTGAGACCGGACGTGCGGGGAGCAGACTCACTTGTCTGCGGCTGGATGGGTCCAGGTTCCGTCACCTCGGCCAAGACTGGCCCGGCGACAGGGGCGTGGCCAAGCGCGGTCCAGAGGGCCGAGCCACCGTCAGCTCGAAGGGGTGGCTACGTGCTGTGACAAGCCTGCCTCTGGATGCAGAAAGGTGCGGGGGCGATGGTCTCTGGAGGAGGGGGTCCTGCGTTGGTGATTCGAAAGAGGCGAAGGAGGCGCTGGCGAGTTAGGGGGCACCGAGGCGGGCCCAGGTGATCCGAGCAAGGCGGAGCGACGAGCAGCTCGGACTGAACGGCGGGGGATGGTGCGCGAGAGAGTTGGGAGAGGCAAGTTGCGGGCGTGGTGCGGGCAAGGAGAGAGCGGGACGAGGGCGACAAGTGAAGGAGGAGTCGCCCCGTAGCCAGAGAGAGCAGGCAGAGGTGCGCCGGTGGGTCCCGGAAAAAGGCCAGGGTCGGGTCGGCTGCCGCTCCCTTCTCCGCCCGCCCGCCACGCTTGGTCTGGCCTGGCCTGCCTGGCCACGCCGCGCCGCGCTGTGCTGTGGCCTCTCTATCCCTCGGTCGGCCAGAGCCGTGGCCAGGCCTGTCTATCCCGCCCTGGCACCGCCCTTGCTGCCTGGTTGTGCATGCAGACCCGTGCCCCGCCTACATACATGCCCAGGCACTCTCCACCACCGCTCGAGAGCGAACGCAGCCATGGACGCCTTCTCCGCCTTTTTTTTCTTGCTTCTTGGCCCTCACTCCTCGGCCGTCTCGCCGGCCGCCTGGACTTTTTAAGGCACGGCGCACGCGGCGGGCTAGATGGGCAACCAGCAAGCAAGCAGGCAGCATCGAGCGGCTCTCCAATCAGCACGACGCATTCGCCGCCGCGCCCCGGTTTTGGCAACAACAACGACGGTGGCGGTGGCAGGTAGCCACCAGGCCTCCGTCCGATCCATGTTGGCGACGGCCACCTCAGACGGCTATTACCACGGGCGATGATGATGATGATGATGATGATGATGCCGGTCAACTAACGATCAAGGCGCTGCAGGGATCACCCAACTCCTCTCGCCAGATGGACGAGGGCCAGGTCCGGTGCCGTCCCCGCGCCCTGTGCATTGCAGCATGAACGAGCGCCGCCCTCGAAAGGCCACGAGGGCGGTCGAACGCCGCGTAAGGAAGTCGCGCTCCACCTCGTCGTCGCTACTACTGTCCGAGCCAACAAGGACAAAGAAGAGCAAGAGGGACAAGCACGACCAAATTATGTAGCTGTCAGACACCCCTCAGGTCGAGGCTTGGGCACCACGCTACAACTCACCTTGGCGTACTTGTCGCTGCAGCAGCAAGAAAAGGACAGACCGACAATAATAACCACGGCGGACCGCAGTCGCAGCAGAAGGATGCGACAACGTCGCGCCACAGTGTGAGACAAAAGAGCGAGATCGAGTCAGAGCGAATGGGGATTCTTCTCGACCGGCGGCCGCGCGAACAACAATGAGCATGGGAGAGGACGGATGCTCACCTCTTGTACTTTGTCCTTCGATCCAGCATCTCTTCGGCCAGTCGACCTTCCTTTTGGGCCTTGCGCAGCGCCTTGCGGTCCTCGGCGCTCATGCTGCTAAACTCGGCCGGCATGTAGCCCGTGCCCGCCCTCGACTTGCTGCCAATCGGTCGGCCGCAGCCGCCGTCGTCGTCGATAGAGCCAAGGGCAAGGGCGAGCAAAGTCAGCTTCGCAGGCGAAGCCACGCGGGCAAGCCGAGCATCCCAAGGCGACTCACAAGAGCTTGACCTCCTTGTCCAGCGCGTCGGCCTTGCTCGTGGCAATGTCTTCCTGGCCCTTGAGCTTCTTGGCCAGCTGGTCGCCGTATCGGGCCTTGTGCCGGTGCGACCACTGCAGCATCACCTGCCACATCTCCGACTCGCCGATCGAGTCGGCGTCGGCGCGGATCACCTTCTTGCCGCCCGCAACTTCGTCCAGCGTGAGGTAGCCGCCATGGGCCGACCGGAGCGCCAGCCTGGCGGGCTCCTGGCTGCCCGCACCTCCACCACCGGCGGCTGCTGCGGGCGGCGCGGCGACGAGCTCCCACTCCTCCTGCGGCCCTCGTGCCTCGGCCGACGCTTTGACGACGCCGAACCTGTCGCAGCCGAGGTACTTGCCCTCTGCGCCTCTAAGCGTCCAGCTCGAGGTTCCTTCTATCCGGTTGGCCACCCAGACCTGATGCACGCTCTGCGGCGTCACCTCGGTCGTGATGGATACGATCTGGGCTCCCTCGACCTCCTCGAGCGCCACCGCGTCCTTGGCCGCCGAGGACGATGCCAATTGGTGCGCATCCGGCGGCACTAAGGCTGCAGCTTCCAGGGCGTTGAGCGTCGTGTTGAACGAGATGCAGAAGGGGTGAGAGGACGCCGGGCCCTGCTGGTAGAGGAACGAGGGTCCCGCCACATCGTCGATCCGCACCGCGGGGACCCATGCTTCGTTTCATCGATCGAAAGAGTCGGAGAGGTTACGATCAGCCTTCTGATCTGCCGCTTGCGTCGCTTCGTAGACAGCCGGAAAGCGTGCTCACCCTGCTCGTCCCCGCCGTACTCTTCGACATCAGAGACATAGTCTTCGGCCCTTCGCTTCTTTTTGCTGCTGCTGCTGCTGCCGCCAGCGCTGCTGCTCTTGTGCTTCTTTTTTTTCTCGGGCTGTCAGAGGGGCAGATTTACAAGTGTGGAACACGGAACGGGTCAGCTACTCTGCCTCGTCAAAGGGTCGTGAGTGTGGATCGCGGACCCACCTTGTCGCCCTTGAAGCTCAGCCGGAGGCTCTTGGACATGGTTGTCGATTGCAGAGATGAAGCTAGCTGTGGGTGGTGTAGCGGCGATAGAGTGCGGGTGCGTGTCGAGATCGGGAACGACACGATGGAGCTGCGAGCCTCGCGGTGGTGGTGGTGGTGGTGGTGGTGGTGGTGGTGGTGGTGGTCGAGCGGAAAGAAGCGCAAAGGCCATCAGAAGTCGTCGGGTTGCGGCGTACCCCCGGGACTCGGACTCGACCTCCACACGGCCTGCCTGTCTGGAACGGGCGACACCCACATCCGCCACCACCAGGAGGGGCTGGCCTCGGCCAGGAGCGTGTCGCGTCAGGACACCCAGAAGATCAATTCGACCCGACAAAAGCCCGGCAGCAGCACCGTCCCCCAACCCCCCGGGGCACACGCCATCGCGCAAATAAAGAAAGAGGACAGATCCATGTCGCGGTGCTCTTTGCTCTTTGTGCAGGTAGCGATAAGAATAGCAGTATAGAGACACGAGGCCATGATACAGGGAGACGGCAACAAAAGGGAGGCCCCGAGCGACGTCCCGGATCCTTCAATCGGAGGGGACACGGCCACAGGCCATTTTTGGGAATGGGCAGACGGGCCGCTGTGCCACGACGTGACGGCTGCGTTAGCCGTGGTGGCGATAGTCAAAGGCAAAGGCGTTCTGGTTCGACGCCGTGTTGGCAGAGAGGCGCACGCCGCCGCCGTGGACCAGAGGCGAGAGGTGCGAGTGCGAATGCGTGCGGTGGCCATCGTGCGCGCCCGGTTCCAGCAGCGACGATGACGACGACGATCCCAGCCCGGCTGCAGACGAGGCATGGTGGTGCTGCTGCGAGTCGGAGCCCAGGTAGTGGTTGGCGTGGGCGCTGCCGTGGTGGCTGGCATAGGCTTGGTGGGTCAGCGCCGAGTGCTGGCTCTGCTGCTGTTGCTGCTGCTGCTGTGCCTGCTGCGTGTGGTGCTGCTGGTGTTGGTGTTGGTGCGGCTGCGGCTGCTGCTGGTGCGCATGCGCGTGGTGCTGGTGTGCCTGCTGATGTTGCTGGTGTTGTTGATGTTGTTGCTGCTGCTGTTGCTGCTGCTGCTGCTGCTGCTGTTGGTGGTGTTGCTGCTGCTGCTGTTGTTGTTGCTGCTGTTGCTGCTGCTGTTGCTGCTGCTGCTGTGGAGCAGCCTGATGCTGTGCATACGAAGACTGCGAGAAAAGGCTCGACGTGTGCCCTTGCGCCGCTGCAGGCCACGCTTGATTGCCGGCGCCGCTCGCGTTGCCTCCAGCTCCGCGGGTCTGGTCCGAGCCGACAGACGCCAGGCTAGAGGTGTCGGGGTTGCCGTAGCCCGAGTAGTCCAGGTATCCGACCCGATCCTCGCCGCCAGCGAGGCGCTGGCTGAGAGCGGATCGCGCCTGCGTGGCCGAGTCGCCCATGCCGGAGCTCAGCGAGTTCTGCGCATGCACGGGCTGGTCCTCTGGACGGCGCGAAGAGGTCGACGATGACAAGCTGATCTCAGCCTGGTGCGGAGCCGGTGGCGCGCGGAAACGAGACGGCGTCTCTTCCAGCTCAGCCTGGTCGGCCTTTCTCCGAGTGCCCGCTCTTGCTGCCTTTGCTGACGGCGCTGCGCTGGCCGGCGTGGCGGCGGCGCTCTTCTTGGCGCTATCCCCCTTGGAATTGGTGGCGCGGACCTTGCTCGAGTCGCCCACGTTGCTGCGCGGTGTCGATTGGCTCGTGTCGCCCAGCGCGCCATTGACATTACTCGAGCGGGCCTCCTGCGGGGTCAGGCGGAGCATGAAACAACAACAGGCGATCAGCGAAAGGCTCTAGGTGGGAGCACTGGTCATCGAGCTGCCGAGCGACCACTCACCTTCTTCCTGTGCAGGTTGGCTTCGTCGATCGCGTTGTCGATGATCTGCTGCAGCAGCTGCTTGGACTTCCAGTGGTCCTCACAGTCTCCCAGCGCAGGGTGCTCGTGCTCGATGCTGGCGGTTCCAGCAAAGGTGCAAGGTGCAGGAGGCCGGGGCGAGACAGGGCGGGGAAAGTCAGACGGCGGTCCGGACAACGGGCAAGAGGGTTGGCTGCCGAACCATGATCGCTTACCGGTTGATGGCGGCCTTGAGCCTGTCCTCAGGCTGCTTGGCCAGCCGAACTTCCTGGTAGAGCCACTCCGAGTAGACCTTTCGACCAGTCTTGCGCACGTTGAGGTACTGCTCCGGCTTGATCTCGAGGAACTCCTTGAGCGGCAGCCGACCCAGCGTGGCCATGCTGCGCTTGGTCATGTCCTTGTGCGCCCGCCTGGCCGACTGCATGGTGCGGTACTTGACCGTCCGGCCTTGCTCCGCGGCCGACGGCTTCCACTTCTGATCCAGCCAGTCCTTCCAGTCGCCCAGCGTAGACTCGGCCGCCTTTTTGGACGACGAGTCGTTGGCCTCGCCACCGGCCGACGCGTTGGCCGCCGCAGCGGCTGCGGCGGCAGCCTGCTGCTTACGCGTCGTGCTGTTGCTGCTGGGCGTCTGCTGCTGCGGGGTGCTGTCCGCGAGCGGGCCGGCAGCGATACCGACGGGATCGTCGTCGACAAACACGGGGCTAGGCAGCCGGCTCTTGTGCGTGTCGACCGCCTCGATCGCGGCGTTCTGCTGCACCTGCTGCTGCTGGCTCCGCCCGGCACCCGTGCCAGAGGAGAGCTGCACGACAGAGGGGCTCGAGTTGGATGGCGAGGCAGCTCGCAGCGTCGATCCAAACGCTGCCCGATCCAGCGAGGACCCCGTAGCGGTTCCTCCGTTGGCCGCTCGGTATCCAGACGCCGCGTTGTAGAAGTTGCCAGACCTCGTCTCGGGACGCGCCGCGCTGTTCGGCATGGTCATGCCGTCGGCGAGACCACCGTTCTGAGCACGACTGCCTCCGCGCCCGCCTCCCACCGGTTGCGGCGGCGGCTGCGACGGCGCGGCGTCGGCAGCGGCGGTGCTCGCCTGTTGCGGACTCATCGTCCGATCCGTGGCGGCGGCATTGATGCCGACGCCCTGGTTCCGATTCGCCCGAGCGGGCGTGTCGACCGCCGACGCAGGCGCCGCTGACGCTGCTGCTGCCGCAGCCGAGTTAGATGAGAGCTGCGTGATCTCGATAAGGCGCGATGTGAGCGATACGAGCGAGGCCAGCTGCGTGCCCATCATCGAGAGCTGGCCGGTCAGCTGGGCATTCATGGTCTGGACTGCCTGGACGATATCGGCGTTGGACTGGAACGAGGGCGCAGGCGTGGCCGATGTGGCCGGAGGAGCGGGCGGTGGAGCAGCGACTTGATGGAGCTGCGACATGGTGGTCGAGGAGGTGGGTTGTGGCTGGGGTATGAGCTCCTGCGCCGGCTGCGCCATGCGGGTGGCCAGCCTAGGGTCGATGGGGTTCGACAGGCGGTTCATGGGCGGCGAGGGCGACCATCTTGCGTGGGCCGGCTGGGTATAGGCGTGGTAGTCCTGCCTCGAGTGGCGGGACATGGCGGGCTGGCGTTCCTCGGGCGCACCTGGCCGGCGGCGTCAGAGGTCGGGTCGTCAGAGGTCGGGAGTGCCAGCTGGAGGGGTATGAGAAGCGGCAAGCTCTTCTTCGGTATCGGTATCGAGGCCAGGTGCTGGCGATGAGATGGCCCGAGACGGGAGAGGGGCCGCGTGACGTGTCAAGACGATGACGGCGCCGTTCGGGTCGCGGTCGAGCGGACGTCGTCCGATGCTGCGCTGTCTCGATAGAGCGCGTGGCAGGTGCGATGCGGGTACCGAATGGCGGCGCCGACGCGTCGATGGTGCGACGAGAAGGTGCGGATAAAGTGGACACGACGGGGAGAGCAGCAAGATAGAGAGTAGAGCGGTTGATATCACAGAGTCGGGCGCGCGGTCTGGGTCTGGGTTCCGAAGAGGGATACGTATGTCGCTGGCCTGTTTGTTGGACGAGGCGCGAGAGGCGGGCGACGACGGCAGTGACGAAGAGGCCGTCTATCTGTGCGGTAGGTCGCGCGCGGCAGTCGAGGCGAGGAGGGATGGAGGGGGGACGAGGACGGAGACGAGGACGAGGATGAGGACGAGGACGAGGATGGCGGTTGGTGAGGTCGTGGAGCAGGGGAGGGATCCAGCTTGGGCGCGGCTGGCTGGGCCGGCCGGGCCGGCCGGGCCGCCTGGAAAGCTGGATCGGATTGGATTTCCTGGCCTCTGCAGGCCTGTGGCAGGTCAAGAGATGGGGGGACGCGCGCCTTCGAGGGCCAGGGCCAGAGCCAGGGCCACAAGCCCGGCTGTCAGACGGCCCCGCCCTGGGCCCAGGGGCGCAGGTGTAGGCCAGCGGAAAAGCGCCAGAGCGGCGCCGCAACCCCCAGGCAGAGGCTAGGGTAGCTCGGGCCACGCCCGCCTCCTGGGCCGCTACCACCAGAAAAAGCAAGCAAGCCTCTTCTCTATCTGCCAAGCCGCTCCCCTCGCCGGGCCCTGCCATCAGACTGAAGCAAGCAAGAAGCAAGCTAAGGGTCAAGCAGAGCGCCAAGATGCTCTGCGCCTGGAGGCCTGGCTGGCTGGCTGGCCTGGCCTATAGCATGGCCACGCCTGCCGCCAGCGGCCGTCTCCTTCGCGCAGACATGTCATGTCCAGAAAGCGCGAGCGAGGCGAGGGAAGGAAAGACCCAGTCCACCGCAGGCATGCCTACCTGCTCCTGCTCGTTCTTCTTATGTAGCTTGCTTGTCTTTTCCTGGCAGGCCAGAAGAAGTGGCGGCCCAGCAGAGATCTCGTCGCGACGTTCGATGATGATGGCACAACCGCCCGGCCTGGCCTACTGCCTGTCCCCGCCCTCCAGCACTGGACGCCAAGCGCAGGTCGACGTCGAGAGGCCTGCCTCCCCTGCCCTGCCCCCCCTGGCATCGCACTACGACCCCGGCGGCAGAATCCGCCTCGATGTGCTCGGAGAGAGATAGGATCAGGGAGAGAGAGAGGGAGTCGTAGGCCATCTCGCAGGGCGAGGGTGCGTAGCGCTGCCAGCGTCTGTCTCGTTGGCAGAGGCGAAAGGTAGGGGCACTGCCCAGCGTCACAATCGCAGCGGGCCTTGACTCTTGATCGAGGGGGAGATGGTCTGGAACAGTACGTCTGCCAAGGCCATGGCAGGCAGGCCCGCCTGGCCTCACTTTGCGAGCGAGCGAGCTGCGCGTCGCGTCTGATGCTCCACATCGCAGCCAAGCAGCAGCAGCGGCGGCAGCAGCAGCAGCAGATCTATCTGAAAATCCGACTTTTGCCTTTCTGGATCGCCCATCGTCGGCACTCGGGCCAGGCAGGGCCAACCAACACCGTACCTTTGGCTGGCCAGGCTCGCGCACCCACCCATTCACCCACCACCAGGCCTGCCAGCCTGCCCAGGCACACAGACACTCTGTCCGACACCACCACCACCACCACCGCCACCGCCAGCACCGGCACCAGCACCACCCCCTTCGCCAACAGCACCATCACCACCTCTTCGCGAACAGCACCGTCACCACCACCAACACGACCATCGCCAGCGCCAGCGCCAGCGCCATCGCTGCTACTGCCACCCTCATCATTATCCCACACTACCAGCATCGCAACCATCTCGTCCGCCACATTTGACAACCAGCAAAGTACAGGACAACCCTTCAGCCTGACCGGTCATGGCACCAACCGCGCTCGATCCAGTGACTTGACCCCTCGTCGACCCACACTGAGCGTGCGCTGGCCTGGCTCCTACTCACGCCCGTCTTGCGGGTCACTGAGGAGCCGTCATGCTCAATGCGCTGTCGCCCTCCGATCTTTGGACCCACGGCATGTCGCCGTCAACTGCTGCCTCGCTCTTTGAAGGTCTGCAGGCTCGCTCAGCACTGGCGGGACTCAGGGCACCACCCGCTACTTCAGCCGTCAGCTCGCCCATGGCGCCCCCCGACCCATCTCCATGCCCGCAAGGCCACTCCAACGGAGCGCACGCGCTCACGACACCTGCTTCACTGCAGCGAGGCAAAAGGTGCCGATCACCGGGCGCTCAGAGGCCCGGCGCAAGCAAGCGTCGCGCCGGCCAGTCAGGCGACGCCGTCGGTGGCGGTGCATGTCACTTCGCGCCCACCGGGCTCGATGCTCCTCACGATGCGTCCGACAGCGACAAGACTCGCACCAGTCAGGGAGAAGGTGCGGGACAGGACGAGCATGGACAGGATGAACCTGCAGACAGGAGCAGAGCCTCGAGCGACACCAGCGGGCGCGGCGGCGGCGGCGGCGGCGATGGTACCGACGGTGCAGACAACGAGACCCCTTCGGGTGACAGTCACAGGTCCTCGCCGGTCGAAGACAGTCCAGATGCAGACGACGACGAGGACGAAGACGAAGAGGACGACGTGGACGACGACGATGAGGGAGAAGACGACGACGACGACGACGACGACGACGACGACGAGTCACCGTTCAAGTTCCTGCAAAACTTCGACCCGTCGCTCTTTGCCACAAACCTCGATGCGCTGATTCCACCAGCACAGCCATTGACCGAATCGACAGCCCACCCAGACGCCCGGCGCGAGGGTCACGCCGCCCCTTCTGCGGCGGCGACTGACCAGGAGTTCTACAGCAACATGATCCAGGTCCTCACCCACCTGCTCGGAAGCTCCGACCATGGCTTGTGGCAGGCTGGCGCGCACACTCCGGCCTCGATCATGGGCACATCTCCGGCCGCCTTCGCCCAAAGCAGCCCCGCCACCCATGCCACGCCCTCGATCACCGCCAACCGCAACAGCCTGCTTGTGCCATCTAGCAACAAGGGTCTGACCGGTCCCGCTCGCGGACATCGCTCGGGGGGCCAGGCCGCTGGAGTTCCAGACCTGCAGGTGAGTGACGAGCGCCTTACTGGTCTCAGCGATGCCGATCCGTGCCCACCGCCGAACGACGCGCCGAACGACGTCTGACTCGGTCCCGCTTATCAATCCCACTGCCGCTTGCCGGAGGTAGCCTCTAATCAGCGCCATCATTTCGAAGCTCAGCGGTAGCCAGAGCAGCCCTCGGCGGCCTGTCGGCGAGCAAGACCTCACCGACCTGCTGCAGTCTCTCATGTCGCAGCAGCAACGCCTCCAGGAGGCGCAGATGCAATCGGGTCAGGTCGGAGCGCAAGACCAGACCCGCGACGGGCTGCACAACGGATCCAACTTGCAGCGAACTGTCGACCCCGAGTCGCTGCAACTGCAGGCCCAAGAAGGCCAGCGGCACCGCCAGGCCGGTCACTCTGCTCAGATTCATCCTGACCAGGAAGAGCAGCAAGGGCAGCAAGAGCAGCAGCAGCAGCACCACGTCCAAGCTCCAACGCACTCATCTGGCTCCGGTACCGCAGCATCCCTCTCGGTCCCAGGGTCCGGGGGCTATCCAGGCGGACAGGCCTCGACAGGACCCGCGCTTGGCTTTGCCGACCTCGTCTTCGAAGAAGAGGACGAGGACGATCCCGACTTCAACCCGGACCTCAATCCGGACCTGCCGATGCCGTCGGCCTGGTCCCTGGCGGTTCAGGACGTGGTCAGCTCAAAGTCGTCCAAGGCCGCGGCCCTCGCGGCGGCGGCATCCGCCCGACCCAGCCCTGCTGGCGCAGAGCACACACCCGCTCAAGAGGTGACGGCAAACGCAGACGCTCAGCGCCAACGCACCATTGCACGCGCCACGGAGCGTCAGCGGCCGCTGCAAGCCACCTCGGCATCCATCCCAGAGAAGCAGCCGACTCGAGCGTTGGCCACAGCGCCTAGCGGCAATGTCCGGACAGACATTGAGGGTCAACGCGAGCCGCAGCACAACACGAGTCACACGGCCAGCCGCGGTCTGGCGATGCCGCGGGACGATCAGGTCCGAGCTCAAGTCTTGAGCGGCTCCAGGCTCGAGGTCGAGGCCGACTCGCCCATGCAGATGAGCATCCAAGAGCTGGCCGGTGCTCATCGGCACAGCGAGCCAGCGACCTCAGCAACACAACCGGCAGCCGTCGCCGCCACCCCTTCCAGGGATGGTGCGCCCGAGTCCGGTCACGATGCAACCGAGGAGGCATCGCCGAGCGCGGAAATCAAGCGGGGCCGCAAGCGGTTGTTCACCGACGAGGAGAGGCGGCTCCGTAAGCTCGAGCGCCAGGCTGAGTATGCCAGGGCCAGGCGGGCTCGGCTGCGCGAAGAGCGCAAAGCCGAGCAGGGCAGCGCCACGCCGGGAGCTTCATCGGGACGGGCGGCGTCGGGCAGGATGAGTACCCAGGAAGCACTTGAGCTCAGGGCAGAAGTCAGCATGCTGCGCAGCGAGATGGAAAAGCTGAGGGAAGAGAACGCCAGACTACGGGCATGTCAGGAGAGGATCGAGCTCGAGCGACACCAGCCCCGATCCGGCCCTTCGAGGCATATCTATCGCGAGGATCAAGCCAGACTCAGCCATCGTCACGACGGACTCGCGCGAGGCCAGCGGATCGGGCGCCACCGCGATGCGTCGTTCGATCGCGAAGGGGTTCCGCCGGGCGGCTACGCAGGCGCCTCGAGAGCATCCAAGTTGAGACCACCCGACGGCCTGACCGCCCTTGACTCCGTGCCATTCGATGGGCCTGACGACGCAAGCTTCGCCGACAGCATGAGCGACTACGAAGACGACGACGACGAGGGCGACGACGTCTGGTCCGGCTACGACGCAGCCCCGGCCGCAAGCTTGAGGGCGCGCGCTTCCGAGCGCGGGAGGCGGCGGGACGGCTTCGACGGCGCGGCATCGACGCAGCGGCGATACGTGCGCGTTTTCGACGAGGGAGTCGACGGGGTGGCTGCGTCGGCACACAGCCTCTACCTTTCTCGGGACGACGCTGTGGGCGCAGAAGCCAGACGCCAACGCGCGATGATGACGGCCTCTGGCGTCGACGCGCGACCGGGGCCGCACCGAGTCGCGCAACACTTCGGCCGCCACGACGCCTCCGCCGACACGTCGTTGGACTCGGCCGGCTCAGCTGTGGCGGCGGGACTGTCCGGTGCCAGGTCCGCTGGCCGTTCGAGCGGCGCACGTCGTCGGCCGCGGATGAGCATCGACGACTACGACGGCGGTGGCCACAGAGCCGCGACGCGTCACTACCGAGCCTGAAGGTGGTGGCAGTAGCGGCGCGCAACCTGGCTTGCCTATGCTCTGCTCCGTCGACCATCGCATCTGTGCCTCCAGCATGGCCCCAGCATGGCCCCAGCACGCTTTCCTTTCTCCTTGCATTGTCTGCTCGATTCACACACACGTTGATACCCCACCCCGCAATCCTGGCAATCTGATCTCGCACATGCAGCATCCGCGGCTCGACGTTCTGCTCTCGCTTCAGAGATGGCGGTGGGACAGAGTGGTCCCGGTCCGCGTGACGACGAGATGAAAGGCAGTTTTGTAGTTAGCGGGAAGCTGACTTTGAAGCGACGTGGGGGCGGCCGGGGACGGAGGACAAAGAGGAGAGCTCGTGTGACCGCGACCACCGCGACCGCGACCGCGCCGGAGTGACACACAGTTGGGGGTCGACAACACGAGGCGGACCGGCTCGGGAAGGACCCGGACCGCCGCTCGTCTAAACACCACCCCTGCCTGAAAGCGAGTCTAGGGGAGCCACGCTGCCTGTCGTCGCCTCATGCTCGCGTGCGAACCTGGCCTGCCTGCTTGTCGAGCAAACAGCAGACGGAGCAGCAAGAAAGAAAGCCGAGCAGCACGCCCGCCCGCCCGCCCGCCTGCCTTTCGATGGATCCCCCCTGCGAACACCTGCCTGCCATGTGGTCCCAGCAGGAGTCGACCAGCAGGCCAGGCCAGGCTACTGTAGGTCGCGAGGTTCAGTTGAACTTCGGTTGCACCCTGACGACCTTGCTTGTATCGCGCGACTACAAAGTCAACGCAAGGCAGGCAGGCCGACAAATTTCGTATTGCTCGACTTGAAATTTCCCGTTCTTGCACGTGGCAACAGCGAGCTCTCGATCTGGCCCCCGGTCTGCCCGTCTGCCCGGCTGGCTGGCTGGCCAGGAACGAGGCAGAGTCAGGCCGGGACCCTTTCTGGCCCGCCTGCCCGCCTGCCTGCCCTTTTTTTTTGAAAACTTTCCAGCGAGTTTGAGTTTGGAAGGTGCGGCAGCCGGGCCCCGCTCAAAAGTACGTGTGGCAAACCGCCTTGCCAGCCATCCTTGCTTGCTCGTGGTCGGTGTGCTTCTCCTTCCCTGCCGCGATGCACACAGGCAGAGGTCGCCGTCGTCGTTGTCGAAGTGCTCACCGGCCATGCATGCCCCCCTACCTGCCTGCTGCTGCCGCCCAACTGCGCGCAGGCGATCGCAGGGCAGCTGATTTCTGATTCTTGCCCCCTTCGTTTCATGGCGAAGCCTGGGCCCTGGCTGCCGGGCAGGGCCGAGGCGAAAAAGAAATTTTGCCCCAGCGCCGTTGCGAGTTTTCAGGGCAGGAGAGAGCGAGAAAGCTCTTTGGCCCTCGTTGTTGGTAACAGGTTCGCGGCTGGCCCTCTCTGCTCCGAGGTCGAGCGGCTCCCTTCTCTTGTTGACCATCACCATCCTCCTTGCCCGCACCTCGCCACATCATAAACCAACCTCGAGGGAAGTGAACGATCGCTGACGCTTCATCGACAGGCATCCACGAGACACGGCAGGAGCACACAAGGTGAGCATCCCTAGCCCTGACTGCTTGCTTGTCGTCGGCTGCGTGCGAGGCCGCGGTCCATCTCGTCAAACGCTCGATTGCTCCAGGGGTTATGGGACTGCCGCTCGCTTCGGCCATGCTGGTCGAAGGCGAGGGCAGTAGGCAGGGCGTCACCACTCCCAGCGCCTCCATGGTCTCTGGAGGCAACGCACATGTCTGCCACGGCCCAACTCGACCCTCCTCGCCGTCCAACGCGCCCTCTCGTTCTGAAGGGGGAGGGGTGAGGGGGGAGGAGGAGGAGGAGGGTGCCCGTCGTGCGGGACAGGACCAGAGGGGAAGCGATCGACCCCTCTGCTGGGTTCAAAGCCCGGGCGGGCGGGAAGCCTCGCCGAGTTGGCCCGCGGGCCAGCCGCGGTGGCGTTCAGTAGCTGGCCCGCGGCCTGCTCGTCGTCGCTTCTCCTCGCTCCATGACCTCTTTTCGCTGGTCGACGCCGTTGCGCTATACGCTATGCAGCGCTCGTCGCCATCGTCGGGGAACGTGCTCGCCATCGCCCGACCTGCCCACCGTCCCTGCCTGGCCCTCATACCGGTATCTCGTCTATCCAGAGGCGGGGTAGACGAGGTTATCTTATCTAGAGCTGTGGGTCGTCCCCATGGTTCCGGAACGGCGGATGACAGATCTACGGGCGTCGGTAGCGGCGCAGGCGGCGGCGGCGGCGGCGACTGCGGTCGTCGGTTTGGCCGCGTCCGCCGTCTGCTCCCTCGGTCTTGGCGGCGGCGTCGTCGTCGAATCCTCGAATCCGGTACGCTTCCCCCATCCATCGATGGCGGCGCGCGTCGTGTCAGATTGAGATCGATCGTCGCACGAAACGATGCCCCGCCTGAGCCGTCTTGTGACCCCCCAGGTCGTCGACGAGATCCTCACTCCTCCTTTCGAAACGGAACTGGCCGGTCGCCTTTGCCTGGCCTGCTTCCGGGGTGCCGGTAGCGTGCCCTCGCTACCGCTTCTTGCGCCCTTCGAAACCGTTGGTCGGTTGATCTTGTCCGCGTGTCCCTCTCTCGCACGTCCTCGCTCTTGGCACCCTCGCCCTGCCTCACTACTGCTCCTGCCTGCCCTCTGGGTTTCGACGCTATCCTGGTGCAGACGCCCTTCGGGCCTCATGCGGAATCCAGCCCAGCGAGACAGCGGCCAACGTACTGACTTTTCGCCCCTCGCTTTCCCTCTCTCCTCCCTCGCCCTGCTTGCTGCCTGCCCCCCTCTCCTCTCCTCCCTGTGCCGCCTTGGTACCCCACTGCGGCCTCTTTCTTTTTTTCGCCCGTCACCTGCCATCTCGCTGCTGCTGCTGCTGCCGCCTGCGGTTTGCTGCAAACGCCTTGTTGCTCCGCCCATCACGCCCTGGTACGGATGGCATCTTCTCGTCATCCCACCGCCCTGTGCCTGCCATCCACCGCCGACACCGCTCCCCGACGACAACTCCTACCCCGCTCCGTCGTCGTCCCCTCCCGACCTCGCGGCCACCACCCATCCTCCTTCTCCTCCTATAACACCTTCCCTCCCGTCCCTTTCCGTCGCTCTCCCTTCCCCTTCCGCCTCATCCTCCCTCACCCCGCACTTCCTCCTTCGTCAACCACCGGCGCTTCACCCTACAGAGACGCTCCGTCCACCTAGACTCGTCCCCTCTCGCTCCCCCTGCCCCCTTCCTTCCTCCCCCGTCCTGTGTCCTCGCGATCAGGATGTCGGCTTCGATCACCTCCAAGAAGTCGTCGGAGGCTGTCGCTCGCGTCGAAAAGTCGGCCGTCGACAGCCCCAGCTCCGATGGCGCCCGGGTCAGCCACCAGCCGGCGCCGATGACCGACGACGATGCCATGCTCGCCGAGCGTATGGGCCACAAGTCCGAGTTTGCCCGCGAGTTCAAGAGCTTCTCGACCATCTCGTACGCCTTCGCCATCATGGGCCTCGTCTCGTCGGTCGCCACCACCTGGAACAGCCCCTTCGTCCTCGGCGGCCCGGCCTCGACCGTCTGGACGTGGTTCATCGGTTCCTGCTTCAACATGTGCCTCGGTCTCTCGATTGCTGAGCTCGTCTCCGCCTACCCCTCGGCCGGCGGCCTCTACTCGGCCTCGGGCCTGCTCGTCCCGCGCGGCCAGCGTGCCTGGGTCGCCTGGCTCACCGGCTGGCTCAACTTCACTGGACAGATTGCCGGCATCGCGGGCACCGAGTACGGCCTGGCCCAGATGATCTACGCCTGGGCGTATGTCATCACCAACGGACGCTTCGTCGCAACGACGGGCGCCACCGTCGGCCTCTACATTGGCCTGCTCTTCCTCCACGGCGTCATCAACTGCCTCGGCACCAAGACGCTGGCCAAGCTCACCTCGAGCTACGTCATTGTCAACCTGGGCATCACCTTCATCATCATCATCGTCGTCCTCGCAAAGACGCCCCTCGACCAGATGCACTCGGCCTCGTACACCTTCACCGAGGTCAGCGACGGCAGCGGCTGGGGCAACAACGGCCTCGCCTTCCTCTTTGGCCTGTACTGCGTCCAGTTCGTCATGACCGACTACGACGCCACCGCCCACATCTCCGAGGAGGTCTCGCGCGCCGCCATCGCCGCCCCCGTCGCCATCGTTGTCGCCGTCGCCGGCACCGGCAGCATCGGATGGGTGCTCAACATTGTCATGGTTATTGTCAGCGGCGACGTGCGCGACCAGGATGCGCTCACCTGGCCCGGCGGTCTCGCCTTTGCCCAGGTCCTGTACCTCCGGGCTGGCCGCGTCGGCTTCCTCGTCATCTGGCCGTTTGTCTGCTCGGTCGCCTTCTTTGTCGTCACCACCGCCCTCCAGGCCAATGCTCGCTCCTTCTACGCCTTTTCGCGCGACGGCGGCCTGCCTGACCGCGGCTTCTTTGCCAAGGTCAGCCCGCGCTTCAACACCACCGTCAACGCCGTCTGGCTCGTCGTCATCCCCTGCATGGCCCTCGGCTGCCTCGCCTTTGCCTCGTACACGGCCGTCAGCGCCATCTTTGCTCTGGCCGCGCTCGGCATGGATAGGTGAGCAGGCCTCGCGGTCATTCTTCGATCTACGCGCGCCGCCGCACGGCATGCTGACCTCTTTTCTCTCCCCGCTTCGTGCCCACCGCCGCTGCCACCCCCAGCTCGTACCTCGTGCCCATCGTCTCGCGCTGGATCTACTGGGACCACCCGGACGTTCAGTTCAAGCCCGGTCCGTTCTTCCTCGGCCGCGGCCTGCTGGGCAAGACGGTCAACGCCGTCGCCATCGTGTGGACCGTGTTTGAGTGCACGCTGCTCTCGATCCCGACCGTCAAGCCGATCGCCGCGACGACGTTCAACTACAGCTGGGTCATTATGATGGGCGTGCTGCTCCTCGCGGGCATCTGGTACGTCGTGTGGGCCCACCGCTTCTACCACGGCCCCAGGAGCACCCTCACGCCCGAGATGGCGCAGAAGCTCGGCGTCGTCTCGCGCGACGACGAGACGCCGCCGGAGTACGGCCACTAAGGTGGTCGCAGTCGCGGCCATCGCCGTCGATGCGCTGCGGCGAGACCGGGGCCAGCTCGAGTCTGCCCCTCTCACTCCTTGCCTGCGTGAGGTGCGCGGGCCGGCCGGCCGGACGCTACCCGCTGCGGTCCTGTTGCTGCCATCCGTTCTTGTCTCGGGACGTAAAGCCATTGCTGGGCTGTACATAAGTTATTGCTCGATCTCTGCCCTGCCCTGCCTCTAGAATATATCCTTGTGCCGGTCTTTGCCCTGCCTGTGGGAGATGGTACCTGAAGCGGTCGAAGAGGTGGGGGGAGATTGCGACCGGGCTGGGCAGGCTCGCCGGCCCCTGACGTCGACACCTTGGTCGCACGCTGCTCCGGATGCTGGGCGGCAAGGCGGCGGTAGCAAGACGGATGGAGGCTGCGGGAAGACGAGTGTTGCTGAGAGCGACAGGAATGGCCAGGTGGGTCGTTGGGAAGGGAAAAGTCGAGGCGAGGAGGGGCGTGCATGGATCAATGTGCTTTGGCGGGGGAACGGCCCGAGCGAGCAACCCGCGCCGTGTTGGTCTCCACATGCAGATTCCCTCCTCCGTTCTCTGTCCTGTCCACCACCACCACCACCACCATCACCACCGGCTTTGCGACCACCAACCCCACGTCTACGATGTCAAACCAAGCAGGAACGTCCTCCTCCTCGCCCTTGTCCTCCTTCTCGGCAGCGCCACAGCAACACACCGAGTCGACAGGGAGCATCACGCCGCTCGTCTCGGCGACACAGCGTCTGAATGCGCTCTACGCCCTGACGACGGGGGAATCCACGGCGCTGCTGCCTCCGCGGTCGACACCGAGCGGTGAGGCAACGCCAACGGCAACGGGGATGTGGATGGGGAGTGCCACACGCCGCCTGTCGTCGATTGAAAGCCAGCTAGCCCACATCGTCAGCGGCGACCGCGCACTACGACGGTTCCTCCACGACTGTGAGCGCCGCCTTTCCCTGCCGTTGAACGCTGGAACCAGAGCTGACCTTGCACGTACGCGTGCCGGCCGATGAGGCGGTGTGGGAACAGGGCAAAAGACGTCGTCGCTCCTCAACCTCGGCTTCTACGCGGCCGACGTCAACGCCAGTACGATGGCCTACGACGCCCAACTCGCCCTCTGTCTCGAAATGGAGCCCGACCTCGTCAAAGCCCTCGCGGACCTGCAGGAGGTGCAGGAGCTCAACAGGCGCAACGTCGTCGATGCCCGCGCACTCGACCGTACGTTGTCCTCCCTGGTCTCCCCCCCGCCATCGTGGCGACTGCGTTTCGGATACGGGGCATGACTGACGATCTCCTCGAAGATTGATGGGACTGGCCGAGGCAGAATGCGAGAAACTGGCCCCACGACTCGTCAACCTCCTCAACCTCGACGCGGAAGAGGAAAAGGCGTTTGCCAACCGCCAAAAGAGGGCGTGGCAAATCGTCGAACGATACCACTCCTTTGTGCGTTTCCACCTTCGCCTCCCCTTTCCTCGCAGACAAATGGCAACTGACCACTCCCCCACCCCACGACCGCGGCGCGACGGGCAGATCAACACCCTCTCCCAGCTCTTCATCACCCTCGACCAGCAGCTCGCCCACCTCGAAAGCGCCGTCGCAAAAGAGGAAAGGAGGAGAGACGACCGACCCGCCCCCGTCCTGCCCATCTGACCCGCACCGACGAGATGCCTCGCTCGTCGAGTCGCCATCTCGCCTGTATTTGTACCCCGCACACAGCCCACAGCCTTGCGCCCTTCGGACCGAGCGAGCCTGGTCTCTCGGGCACAGCCGTGACAGGCAGAGACGATGTTCCAAAGGATGCGCGATGCTATGGGATGGTGTGGATATCTGACCGCCGCCCTTCTGCGCACGCACCGCTCGCATCACGCTGCGCTGCGCCGCGCTGCGCTCGTAGCCTGCCCGCCTCATTCGCTGGCCTCGGCGCCGTTGCCGTTCTCTTCGTTCTCCAGCAGCGAGTACTCTGATCGGACCCAAAAACAGCAGGGGCGCAAGATGTCAGCCGCTCGCGTCCTGATGCCGGCCAGTCGCCGCTCTGATCCGCCCCCGGCCACTCACGCTTCATCAGCGTGCACTCTCCGCCGTGCTCGAGGTCGATGTTGTACGAGTAAAAGTAGCCCTCGGACGTGACGACCATGACCTGTGGTGTCGTCCTGGTCGACGCGGCGGTGCCATGCGTACGTGCCGGGCGCAAAGGTCAGCGGGTCGAAGCAGGGCGGGCGGACGGGGCGGAGTCGAGGAGAGGGGCCAGACTCACGAGCTGACGGCGACGACGGAGCTGACGCCCTGGGACGGCAGCTTGAGGTAGGCAAAGTCGCGGCTCGGCTCCCACATCTCGGTCAGCGTGTTGGGCAGGTAGCCTCCCACTGACCCTGCCATGCCGCGCCCGAGCGCCATCGACCGCCTCTTGAGCGTGCCACTGCGACAAGGTTGAGTAGGGAGGGAGGGCCTTTGCCGGTCAGTACACAATGCGCACTCCCAAGCCCGACCCGCTGCGGCGCTGCCGCTCACCTCAGACCTCCGCTCTTCTTCTTGCCGTCGATGAACGCCTCGTACCCTCCGTTTCTCCCGTTGCTGCTCCCCGTCGGGCTGCCCGCCTCGCTACCATCGTAGCTCGAGATGCTCGGCGTCGATACTCCCGCCGGTGGCCCTTTGGCACCTGCAGCGCCCTTGGCCCCAGCTGCAGCGAGCTTGAAGATGTGGACGGTCTCGGTGTCGGAGCTGACGCAGAGGAGCGTGCTGACGGCGTTGAAGTTGATGCTGTAGATGCGGGCCGGGTAGCTGCCGCGCCGGAACTGGTAGAGCTTCTGCGCGGCAGGGACCGAAAAGACGCGGATGACGGTGCCCTTGTCCGAGGCGGTGGCGAGCATGGTGCCCGTCGAGTTGAGCGCGAGCGCCGAGATGGGCGACTTGTGCGCCTGGATGATGTTGGTCACCGAGAGCGAGAGGAGGTCAAAGATGAGGACATCGCCGGGCGACGACGACGACGAGCCGGACGCCGACGACGACGAGTTGGCCGACGAGTTGGCAAATGGCGATGTGGGCGAAGGGACCGGCGACGGGTAGGCGAGGTAGCAGTTGTCCGACGACGGCGACAGCGCGCATATCGCTGAAGGAAAGAGGAGCGGTGCAAGGGGAGGGACACGGGTGGACGGATCAGCTGTGGTGTTCTTTCACAGGTTCCGATGCGGATCCGAGCCCCGCGCGGCCTGGCTCACCCATGGGGTTGGGGCTGGTCTCGATGGTGTGCAGGAGCTTCATGTTGCTGATGTCGTAGATGTAGATTTCCTGTTCAAGGACGACGACGAGCCTCCTGCGGTTGAGCTTGACGCCGAGGATGGCGGTGGGGAAGAGTAGCTCGCAGATGACCGACTGCCGCTTGGTGTTGACAATCTGGAGGCGCCTCGGGCTGGCGTTGGACTTGGGGTCGCTGTCGGAGGTGGCGACGAGCGCGACGAGCGAGGTGCAGAAGAGCATCTCGACGAGCGACGTGGGTCCCGAAGGGTTGGAGTAGACGCGGCCGAATGGCTCGCAGTTGGTGATCGAGTAGCCCCTCCTCGTCCCGACTGCCACGCAGCTGTGGTCTTGGTTGAAGTTGACCGAGAGGAGGTTGTTGGATGCCTTGGAAGGCAGCGAGGTCGACATGGCGGGCAGAGAGCCGGTGCTGCGGCGAAGGAGCGAGCGAGGGGGCGACTAGGAACGGGCCGGGCCGAGATGAAGATATCGAGGGCTGAGAAGGCGGTCGGACGGGCCGGGGCCAATGGGGCTGCTGTTCGATGAGAGTGCGTCGGGCTGTCTCCGCGGCGATTGTTCTCCGGTGGACCGCCTGGCTGTGAGAATTGGTACGAAGGGCAAAGAGCGCGGCGGGCGGTGCCGGTGGCGGTGGATGGGTGGATGGATGGCGGAGACGGAGGCAGAGTGGAAGCACGCGGGGATAGCAACGGGCGAGGAGCGAGGGATGCGGCGGCGCTCTCGCTCTCCTGGCTGCCGGGCCAGGCCACGCCCAAGCCAGGCCCCGTCCACGCACCGCCTGCCTGCTTGCTCGTGTGTTGCTTTGGCGGGCGCTCTGCGAGGGCAAGCCGGGGGCGCCTGGTCCAGGCGAGGGAGGCCAGGCCACCCGGATTCGAGTCGAGTGACCCGTGCGCGCGCCCGCCCTCTCTCTGTCAAGCGCCTCTCGGCCAGCCAGCCAGCAGTTTTCGGATGCACCCCGAGGACCTGGCTCGCTCGCTGCCCGCCTTGCCTTGCTTCCCCTCTCTCTCTTTCCTCTCTCTCTCTCTCTGTGCTTCCATTTCTTCGTTGCGACAGCACCTCTTCGACCCTCTTCAAGTCACTGGGAGGACCGACGGGCTGGGCCCGCGCCAGGCATGTCAAATGAGAGCCCCGGTGCGACGACCGGCGATGGACGGATAGGCTATTCCGACTTCGAGGCGGGTTGCCTGGCCTACCTCGGCCAACGCTCCGCAGCGGCAGCGGCGGCGCCGGAGGCAGTACCGGGCAGCGACGGTGATGCCGAAGGACAGCGGCTTGGCGCCGAGCTCTACGCTGGGGGCTGGTCCTGGTGCAGCGGCGCCCGCAACCGCAGCGTCTACCATGCCGCCCCTCCCCGGGGCGGGCTGGTCCGGAGCGCCGAGCTGGCCGTGCATCTCGACATCTCGCCCCTCGTGTCTCCCGCTGGTGGGGACGAGGATCTGCTGGGCGCCGGCGGATGGCTCGATGCTGTCGACGATGAGGCCACGGTGAAGCCTTCGCCGCGGATGCGCGTCCCGGTCCGGCTGCACCAGACGATAGCATGGTCGTCGACCTGGCGCGTCCCCGTTCTCTACTTCCAAGCCACGACGATGGGTCAGTGTGTGCGAACCCTCTCAGCTCTCCCCTTGCTGCGACTGCGGACTGACGACGAGCAACAAACCCCCCTGTCCCACTGCCTCCTCTTTCTTTCAATGCAGAGGGGCGACCGCTGTCCCTCGACGAGCTCACCTCCAGCTCGCTCCTCCACGGCTTTGGCACCCTCGACAGCGCGCTGCATGGCGAGAGAGTCGCCAGCAGCGGCAGCGAAGGGAAGGACAGCAGCGCTGCAGCTCGTTTCCCGCCACTCAGTCAAGGGCAGCATCCCTTCACTGACCTGCCGTGCTTCTACCTCCATCCTTGCGAGACGGCCGGCCTGCTGGCAACTCTCGACGACGAGCAGTGCCAAGCTCAAAGCGACCTACCGCGAGGCAGCCGGTATTTCTCGTACATCGAGTCGTTCATCATGCTCTGTGCCACCGCAATCGAGATGCGCCTCTAGCTCACAGCAAACGACCGCTCAGAAGAAGTCGACCCTCTGCCCGACGCCCCGCCTCTCCGCCTCGTCGACAAACATGGCCGTGACGGCAACGTCCTGGACACCGACACCGACGCTCTTAAAGATGCTGATGCCCCTCGCGCTCTCGTCGCGCTTCCACGCAGGGCAGGAGCGGACCCGCTTCCAGTCCTCGACCGTGTCGGGCACCAGCGTCCCCAGCTCCACCAGCTGCTCTTCGGCAACGTCGGCCTGGATGAGATCGCCGGCCTCTTTGGCACATGCCTCGGCCGAGTCGACCACCAGCGAGCCTCCTGCAGTTGCCAGCTGGACCAGCGAGGCAGGCAGCTCGACCATGTGCGGCTTGTCTGTCCGCAGGTGGCGTGATCAGAGAGGGAGAGGAGGGGAGGGGGGGGGGGGGGGGGGGGAGGGGGGTAGACAGGAACATTGAGCGGGGGGAAACGACTCTTCGTCGATCTCGAGTTTGCGCGGTCGACACTCACATGCGCCGACGATGTTGAAGTGGGTGCCGTCCTTGACCCATTCGGTCTGCAGCAGGGGCTTGTCGGACGGCGTGCAGCAGCAGACGATGTCGGCCTCGCGCACTTTGGCCTCGACCTGGTCGCTCCACTCGACTGCGACCTGGCCGCCCTGGAGCACGCTCTGCAGGCGCCGGATGCTGTCCCTGGTCGACGCGGAGGGCTCCTTGCCGCGGGTCAAAGCAAACGTGACCTTTGCGATGCCGTCGTAGACCCTGCACAGCAGCCAGGCGTGGTAGAAGGCCTGCATCCCGCCTCCAAAGACGACGACGTTGCGGACGCTGCGACCGCGCTCGCTGGCGGGTGGGATGGCGAGCACGTTGGCCACGACGCTTCCGGCAGCGGTGCGGATGGCGGTGAGCTCGGCAGCGTTGACCACGGCCCTCACCCTCGAGCTCTTGGTGTGAAAGAGGAGCGTGGTGCCCGGGATGCCGCCAGGCACGCCAGCCGGCAGCGGTTCGGACGGCTTTGGCACCGAGACGCACTTGACGCTGGTGGTGCCTTCGGAGCTGGCGGGCATGAAGAGGACCGTGTGGTGGGGGGCGTTGATACCGATCCGCGGAGGGCACTGCGCCGCATCCTGAGGTGCGATGGCCGCCGAGGGCAGCGAGAGCATGCGGAACACGTCGGCCTGGTTTGAGAGAATGGAAGAGAGCGGGATCTCGAGCGAGAGCGTCGAAATGTCCTTGCCGCTCACGATGAGGACCTTGTCGTCGGCGAGGTCCATGGGCGGCATCTTGGCAGGCGGGAACAGGCGAAGGTAGCGGGGCCGTCGTCTAGAAGGGTTCGAACCGGGGTGGTGGTCGTCGTCGAAGGGGCGGAAGGCGAGCCGCGGAGAGGTTCTTCTTGGGAAAGAACAGAGACGGGGACAGCCAGCTGCTTGATTCGGGCGGAGCGCTGTGCAATCAGTGCATTTCGAGTCAGCCAGTCGCCGTCGTAGTGTGGTCGACGTCGGGAAGATGCCGGGCGCCAAGTCGGAGGTGAGGCCAAGGCCAGAGGCGAGCAGGAGAACAAAAGACGACGGCGTGAGGAGTTTGAGAGTGTGAGGGCCGTGCGTGCATGCGCCAGCCCGGCTCAGAGGGGGTGGGGAAAAGGACCCGCCCGCCCGCACCGAGGCGAGGCCGACCCTCACCCCCAGCCAGCAGGTGGAGGCCAGGCTGGCCAGCGGGGCAGAGAGCTGAGTGTGGCAGAGAGAGAGGGGCAGAGAGAGAGAGGGGCAGAGAGAGAGAGAGCGAGGATCGGAAGGCGGCCCGGGCCACCGTCACACGGCATCCTCCGCCACCCGCCAGAGTAGTGTCACCACCACCACCACCACCGCCCACTCGCCCGCCTACAGCGACCCTCACCACTCGCACTCTGTTCTTTCCTTCGATGCCACCTGACAGCCCCCGTCACCGCCAAGCAATCCCCCCCGAGACTGCAGTCTCGTAGCCGCGAGTCGACCCTCACCGACACCCCGCATCTGACCCCTCTGCACGCGCGAGAACATGGCCTGCGCCACCTACCAGTCGCTTTCTCCGAACTCGGCCTTTCGTGCTCCGATCGCCAGCTCAAGCCGCCTCGATCCGCCGCGGGCCAGGGGCACTCACGCCACCTCGTCGCTCTTTCAGCGCCAGACGCAGCTCGACGACAACTTTGTCCAGCGCCTCGACCGCATCGACGTCCTCGGCGGCTGGACGGCGCACAGGGACCTCGTCGGCCACACGGGCTGCGTCAACGCCCTCAGCTGGTCCCAGTCTGGACAACTCCTCGCGAGCGGCAGCGATGATCGCAACGTCGTCCTGTGGCAGCTCGGAAGCGCCGAGCAGCATCCCGTCGCCGAGCCCGACGACGACACCAACGCGCACGACCATGGCGATGGCCGCGATGGTGGAGATGGAGGGGCTGCCAGCGACGAGGTGGTGGCACAGTGGCCGCAGCGGTCCCATCCATCGCTCGACGTGGGCATGATGGGCAAGATCCAGACGGGCCACCGCGCCAACATCTTCTCCGTCAAGTGGGCGCCCCACTCGTCGGATCGCAGGCTCTTCACCTGCGCGGGAGACCGCACCGTCCGGGTCTTTGACATCAATCACTCGGGCATCGGCCCAGGCAGCGGACAGACGCAGCGCACCGCCGACGGCAAGGAGTACACGCTGTGGAACCAGGGCAGCGGCGCCTGCATCCGCCTCTTTCGCTGCCACAAGGACCGCGCCAAGCGCATTTCGACCGAGAACTCGCCCGACGTCTTCCTCACCTGCGGCGAGGACGGCGACATCCGCCAGATGGACCTCCGCACGCCCCACGCGTGTGGCCCGCGCCGCGGCTACGGCGAAGGCTGCCCGTCGCCGCTGGTCCACTTCCCCTTCGGCCTCTACTCGCTCTCGGTTAGCAAGACTGAGCCCTGGCTGTTTGCCGTCGCCGGCATGTCGCCCTACGCCTATCTTCAGGATCGCCGCATGGTGCCGCGCCTGCTCAAGCGCGAGTGGGGCATCGAGGCCGACCCCAGCAGCCCAGACGCGGCCGACGCCCAGGCCCTCACCATGTGCGTCAGGAGGTTCGGACTGCCTCCTGGAGGCTTCTTTGCTCCCCACGTCGAGGACGACGGCAAGACGATCCGTGCCGGACGCCGAAGTGGCGGGGACGAGGATGGCGACGAGAGCGAGGATGAGGCAGGGGAGTCGAGCGACGACGACGAGGAGCCGCTTGGTGGCCTCGAAGACGCCCACATCACGGCGTGCAAGATCAACGAGAGCACCGGCCGAGACCTCGTCCTCTCTTACTCGAACCACTTCATCTACCGCTTCCAGATCCACGACGAGCCTGGCGTCCTCCACCACGAGCCCAAGCGACGACGGCTGCCCGGCGGCCGAACGCACCGCAATCCCGAGACGATCCTTGGCGAGGAGATCCCGGCGCGCGACTCTGCGTGGCTCGAGGGCATGCAGAGGCGATGCCTCCAGGCTCTCTTCCCTCTGACGGCGACCGCGGAGGTAAGGCAGACTCCTGGACGGGTGGCTGCCTTTTGGAACGACATCAAGGACCTGACCGAGGAACTCGGCCCTATTCGAGACGAGGACGACATGCCTCTGGATGCCTATGCTGCGGTCGAAGTCTGCCGCGCGCTCGGTGTGGTCGCCTTCTCCGAGGACAAGCCGGGCTGGTCGCAGCTGCTGCACCACTGCCTCGACGAGATTCACGACCAGTTCGGGGATTTCGCCATCGGCACACAGGTCGCGCCGTGGCTCGAGAGGCTGATTGATGCCATCGACCAGGGCGCCACCGCGACTCGTACGGACGAGATCAAGAACGAGCTCTGGGCCAGGGCCGAGCCCCTCGTCTCGGAGACATGGACGGTGGAGCGTCTCGGTCCGAGCCAGGGGCGCTGCGGCGTCGACGGTGGGGCAGCAGCGGCGTCTGAGGGCCGCAGACTTAAGCGCGCAAGGGTAGCAGAGGAGGCAAGCGACCCAAGGAACCCCCAAGAAGGCTCTCAGCTCCATGGCCAGAGGCTCAGCGTCGCCGAAGGCTCGGACGACGAAGAGCTCGACTCGGACGATGCAAGCAGCGCGACGGCCAGCGAAGCTGCGCACGCACGGTTCCGCACAGCGTCCAGCGACGCAGGCGACGACGAGGGCGAGGATGACCATGACGACGAAGAGGAAGCCGAAGACGAGTCCAGCAGCAACGACACCGACAGCGAAGGCGACGCGGTGTCCTCGGGCGAAGAAATGGAGCTGAGCGAGCCCGAAGGCTACGGCTTCGAGACCGACATGTCTGCCGGCATCGAGGACAAGTTCCAGCGTGCGCCGCTCGTCTGCCCGCGCAACCACTACCGCGGCCACGCCAACATCGAGACGGTCAAGGACGTCAACTTTGCCGGCCGGGACGACCGCTACGTCGTCTCGGGGTCCGACGACGGCAACTGGTTCCTGTGGGACACTGAGACAGCGGAGCTCCGGGGAATCTGGAGGGGCGACTCGAGCGTGGTCAACGTGCTGCAGCAGCACCCGAGCCTGCCGGTGATGGCCATCTCGGGCATCGACGATACCGTCAAGCTGTTCGGTCCGGTCACGCTGTCGTCCGGCCCTCCCGCTCAGAGGGCTGGCAGTGGCGAAGCTCCTGGCAAGGTGGCCGACCGCATGGCCAAGAAGGACGACATCATGTCGCAGAACCGCGAGCGGCTGCAGGGATCGCGGCAGAGGTCGAGCCTCTCGACGCGGACGCTCCTCTCGATGCTGCAGCAGCACGTGCTGCAGGGCAATGGCAGCGAGGGCGGCCCCGAGGCCAGGCGACGGGGAGCCAGGATGGTGCTGAGGCCGCTCGTCGGAGGCGGCTGGGCGGTGACGACGGCTGAAGACGCCAACGAGGAGGCCGAGCGGGGCCTGGTCGAGGAAGGCGAGGAGGGAGAGGCCGAGGACTGCGTCGTCATGTGAAGCGGCCGTCGGGTGCGGTAGGGACGCCCGCTACCATCAGGCCAGGAAAGGAGTTCGAGGTCGAGGTCGAGGTCGAGGTCGAGGTCGGGAGACGACCCTCGCCGTGTATTTGTACGCCCCCAGCATTATCATCGCACGCCCGCAGGCACATCATTTAACCGCCACGGCAGCGTAGCGGCTGCCATGGAGGTGCGCAGCAGGGCCGAGGGAGGACTGAGGATAGAGAGAGCAAGCTCAAGACCTCGAAAGAGGTGGTGGTGGTGCGGCGGACCTGCAGCCTGGCCTTTAGGGAGACGGCGGCGGACCTGCAGCGGCTTGTCGGGCTTCGGGCGGCGGGCTGCAGCGCGACGCCCCGTCAGGGCCCAGCCGTCGGCGAAAAACAGGCAGGGTCGACCCTGCTTCCTTCTCAACCTCGACCCACCTCCCTCGCTGCTCTCACCTCACCTCGCCAAGGGCACCCACGATCCCCTGACCGTGGTGGCCGCACCTTGCTTTTACATCTGCCCTATCCCTCCCGCCGCCGCCGCCATGACGTCCGAACAGCCACGAGGCGGGTCGCCCGACTCGCCCCACGATTCGCGCTGGAGCATCCCCACCTACTCGCAGCAGCATCCATCCGACTCTTCCTACCATCCAGGCGGCGAGAGCGGCGACGTGACGGGAAGCAGCACCCGGCGCGAGGTCGTAGGCACCCCGTCAGTGGCCGCTGCCGCCGTCATTCCGAGCCAGTCACCCGGCAGTCCTTTGCGCATTGTCGCATCGAGAGCGGGCCAGTACAAGGTCGTCGCCGTCCCTTTGGACTCCCAGGTCCTGGGCACTGCATCGACCTCATCCTCCGGATCATCATCGCAGGCAGCCGCTCAATGGATCTCCAAGGCGGAAGCGACGCCAGAGATGGTCAGCCAGTGGCGAAGCGGGAGGAGGCAGAGGGAGGAGATCAAACAGCGGGCAAGGGGCCGGCAAGCCGAGGAGCAGCGGAAACGAAAACGGGTCGACGCGAGCTCCAGTGAGAGCGACGACGACGGGGTCCGTCCAGCTGCTGGCCTGGTCAATCTCGAGCGGCGACCGGCGACAAAGCGGGTCGCCGCGGACCCCGCCGACCAGCCCGAGATCTACGTCGAAATCCCCTACAGGAGCCAGCAGGGTCGCTTCACCCCGTATCTCTCAATGACCCAGTCCACTGCGCCCGATGGATCTGCTCTCTCTTCGCACGACAACCACGACTCGGACGCGACTAACTCGGATCGGGGCGCCGACATGCAGCCGTTGCGGCCCATCCCGCCCGAAGCCTTTGCGCCGTACCTCGACGACGATACGGGTCTGGAGCTCGACGCGGCTGGCCGTCCGCTGGCACGACTGCCGCCCGCTCCCTGGCATCCACAGCAACCGGCGGCGGCGACAGACCGGACCAAGGCCATCTCGACGCAGGATCACAGCTCACCCGTCGATCAATTCAGCCAGAGCGTCTCGCCAGGGCTGGATCGCGCGCCCCGCTCACCGTCGCCCGTCTACCGTGCGGATCAGGTTCCTCGCATCGGCAGCTGGATCGTTCCGAGACCGCCAGTCCGCATGCGCCCGCTCTCTGTGGCGTCTCCATCTCGAGCCGCACCAGCGACACCGCGGGTCGGGGAAGATGCAGCATCGGACCTTGTCATCCTGACACAGCAGCTCGATTCTGACGAGGATCTCGACTTCGAAGAGGGCGAGGACCGCATGCAGAAGCTGCTGGGCGAGCTGGAACGGCGCAAGGCGAATGCACGTGCAGCCGTGCTGACGCAGCAGAGCAGCAGCGGGATACGCACGCCGCCGCCCGCATCGCAGCCATCGGGCTACTTGGCGCAAGAGGAGGAGCGCCCGGTAGCAGATGATGATCTACCCCGCGAGTCGACGCCACCTGCGCCGGCGGATGCGGATGTCGCTGCCCTTCCCGCATCGGACGGAAATCCGAGGCGACTGCCGCTACCGAGCCAGCCCATCGCCTCTCAGCCGCCACCTCCGACGGCATTGGTCGACGAGCTCAACGCTGCGCAGCAGACGCCCCGTCGGACGCAGCCGGAGCAGCAGCGGCACGATATTCGAGCCGAGGAGCATCCCACGCCGACCGCTCCCTTCTCTCAACCCCTTCCACATGCCCATCGCGTGCAGGCAGCGACATCGGCGGCAGCTCACGCTACGTCGAGTCTGCAGCCCTCGGACACGTCGCTGTCCACATCGCCGTCTTCTTCGCAAGGATGGTCGACTCTGCCGCGTCGGGAGATCTGCGAACTTGTGCAGCGCTCTTCGCACATCCCCGCGTTCCTCAAGGACGAGGTGGAAAAGTACGTGATGCGGTCCAAGCGGGCCGCGCAATCTCAGCGGTCGAACACCACCGCCCTGACGAACACCTCGGCATCGCAGTCGCAATCGCAGTCGCAGTCTCAGGACGACTCCGAGACGCAAGAGGACGGGTTCCTGCGCACCAAAAAGGTGTGGTGTTTCGACCTGCTCCGCGGGCCCCTGATTGTCGGCGCCACTGGGCTCGGAGAGGGAGGCTTGCACGAAGTGGTGCAGAGGTTCACGCAAAGCCAGCAGCAGCAGAGCGGCGATTCAGCGACAGGTCCCGTGCGGAGCGTCGTGCTCGTCGTCGATACAAAGGAGGGGACATTCGACGTGCAGGAGATCGAGGAGAACCTGGCCAACATCCTGCGCGAGGACACGAGGTTCGGCGCATGGTTCGATGCAGCGGGTCGAAGGTTCCCCGACGCGCCAAAGGCTGCCCCACCGCAGCCACCGCCGCCGGCAGAGGCGGTCGTCGAAGAGACGGGCCCGACAGGGAGCGCGGACGAAAAGGACGACGAGATTGCTCGGCTGCGTTCGGAGATGTCAAAGCTGCAGGCCGCGCTCGACGCTGCCGACAGCGAGACGGCGCGACTGCGCTTGGCGGCATCCACGCACGAGACGGACCTCGAATTCCTGCGCGACCTCTACGACAAGGCAGCCTCGTCGTCGACCGAGTTCCGCAAGCAGTACGAAGAGGCGGCGTCGCGGATTGCGCTGCTCGAGTCGCAGCTCTCCGAGGGTCTCGCGCTGCACTCCCGCATGGCGTCGCAGCGCTACGAAACGGATGGCCGGAGGATCGCCGATCTGGAGCGACAGCTGTCGCATCTGCGCGAGGTGCAGCAGAGGACGGGTGATGGGTTGAGGGAAAAAGGCGGCCAAGTGGGATGCGATGCAGGCGGAAGAGGAGATGCGGCGCGAGCAGGCCGAGGAGAGGCGGAGGAAAGCCGAAGAGCGCAGGCTGGAGCTGCAACGCGAGCTGGGCGGCCTGCAGCAGGTGGACCGAATGGAAGCAGAGGAAGAGGGTGATGCGGAGGACGAGTTGAGGGCCCTGCAAGAGGAAGCCGACCTTGCTGCCGGTGCCGGTGGCGCCGGCGGTGATGCCGACGGCGTCGATGAGGGAGGGGCAAGAAGGAGCAGGAGAAGTCGAAACCCTGCTGCTGCTGCTGCTCCGACGGCGACGACGCCGCCGCCACCGGCACCGGTCGACGCAGCTGCAGACGAGGGACCAAGGGCAGGGGCAGGGGCGGAGACGATGCCGGCGATACCCAACGAGCTGGCTCGGCAGATCGAGCAAGACGTGACCGACCAGCTGGACCACTTCCTCGCCTCGGACCTGAGCCTCCCGCCTCTTCCGTCGTCGTCGTCGCTGGATCAGGCGCTCGCGTTTTCGGGGTTACCGGAGCAGGGGCACGAGGACGGCCAAGGCGATTCGGGCAGTGGCTTCCATACACAGGCTTGAGTGGGTCAGGCACCGGTCAAGGTGCGAACGATGCCCTCGGGGCGATAGCGATGCAACCTTGAAGCAAGCCACTCGATGCTGACCTCGGGCAGCATCCCTGTTCGCGCTTGTCCGTACTCTGGCGTTGCTGTGGCCAACGATGCGGTCAAACAGCGAGCCTCATTCCAGGGCCCCGGCCAGATCCATACGGCGCTGTATAAGAAGAGGGCCCTGCTTGCCAACTTCGAAGTTGCCCACGCCCCATTTCGTCCTTCACCTCATCCCACGAAACACGACCATGCGGCTCAGCATCTTCATCGTCTACACTCTTCTGCTTGGCCTGCCGGCTTATGCCCAGCCCCGTCCGCCGCCGGGTCTAGCAACGTTGGAGCACGCGTTGCAGCACGACGCGGCAGAGGAGTTGCCTCGCCTGGACTTGAGCGGCGTCGAGAATTGGCTGGTCGATCCGCTGCAACAAGGCGACGAGTCAAATGGACATGCGGCGCTCGACCATGCCGGGCAGGCTCCAGACGGTCCGCACACAAGTTATGCAACGCACAGCGACCCTGTCATGGCCTCGAGCTCTCAGCCTGCAGCCGATCGCCCATATCACACGGGTCAAGGGATGGTGCCGTACGCTCCAGCCGCATTCGAAGGTAGCTCTTGGAGCGTCCAGCCGGCACGCGATCCAGGTGCATCGGGCCACGAGCTGGCCGAGGGCCACGGCGGCACGAGCAGTGCGACTGGTTCAGCCCAGCCGGCCGAGGCAGATGATGGCATCGCGTACCCCTTCACAAAGGCGCAGGTGCATCGCGACTTTGACCTGGCCGGTCCGTCCAGTCGAATCTTTCGAACGCAGCTCGCCACACCGCTGCAGAGGACCGTCTTCCTGGAACGGTACAAGGAGCGACTCCGCCCCGCCCTCGAGGCATTCCCGGCGTACCGTTCCGTCGTCGACAACCTCCGCTTCGCCGCCGTGATGCCCGTCGCCGTGCGACGCCGGCTCTTCGGGCGCGTGCGCGAGTCGTACATGCTCTACGGCCACTACCACATCGCCCACCGCCAGCTCGAGATGCCGTTCGAGATTGGCGACTACGTCTTCTACGTACTCATCAAGCGCGCCCGCCCGGCCTCGGAACCCGGCTCGCTCCTGGTGCCCGTCGTCGCATTCGAGCGCGGCCTGCCCAGTCGGGGCATGCACCGCCAGTTCTACCTCGGAGAGATCCAGATGCCCTCTGGTTTGATCTCGCTTTTCAAGGTCAGCAGGAGACAGGCTATCAAGCACCGAGACGAGTCCGTAAGCGCCCGCAACTGAGCGATGGTCTTGTCCTCCTCGTAGGCCGGTTGCATCGATTGTCTGCCTTCGCCATACGATACTCAGCTCCTGCCATGAAGCGATCATCGAGTTACTTGCGTTGAAAATGAGCTTGGATACGAGGACGCCCCGGGCGGGGCGGTAGAGTTGGCGATAATCTGGGCCCGGCGGGCCGGTTGGCGTCCAATGGACCATCCGGGATGAAAGCTAAATTACGGCCTGACGAAGTCGCCCCCAAGTTGTTGGGAGTGGGGAAGACCTGGGCCTTCATTCATACCCCGGCCCTCGAGCCGCGGCCTATGTAGCTTTTTTGTCTTCCCTGCCTCGACCATGTCGCCCCGAGCTACATACATACCTAGATGCCAACAGGCAGATGCGGTGAGGAAATCTTCTGCGGAACCACCGGACGCGCTCGCTACATAAGGTCTGGTTGTGCGGCCCGTCCTCGCACTCGATCTGTTCACCGCTCCTCCTCACTCCGACCCGAACACCTCGCCACTCGACCAAGCATGCGGTTCAAGAGACTCTACACGTCCTTCCTGGTCATCTGCGCTTCTGCAGCGCTGCACCGCTGCGGCGTGCACGCCCAACCCCCTCCGAACATGGGCGCCATCGAGCACCTCTTCGGAGAAGAGGTGCCTGCCAACCTCGCCCACGTCGACACGAGCCTGTTCGAGAACTGGCTCCTGCACGCTCCAGAGCACGCACCGCCTCCCGCCGTCGACTACCAAGCTGTCCATGGCCACGTCCCGAACCTCGACTACGCCCACCAGAGCTCCGGCTATCCGCGTGCCGATCACGGCGCCAACGTCGACCCCAACGCCTATCACTATTACGCTGGCCAGGGACAGGAACAGGACTTCGGCCACTTTCCCCAGGCTGACTACGGCCAGCCCGCGGACCCTGGCTATGCTCATCACCAGACAGCCGAGGAGCCGCTCTCTGTCTACGACTACCTCGCCGAGAGCGCAATGAGCCCGAGCCAGGAAAGTCAGGGCTCGAGTGCTCACGGGCCTGCTTTCCCCATCGAGCGAGACCACCCGTTCAATCGGGCCGCGTCGGGTTCCGCTTCGGGCGCGATCAACGCCCAAGTCGACACCGTCGCCAAGGGACGTACCGGCAGACCCAGGACGGTCCCACGCCGGCTACGCGTGTCCGAAAGCCTTGCCAAGGTCATCGACGATCCCACCTTCCATGCGGACCGGGTCAGTGCCCAGCTCCGGAAGACGAAATACGTGCCCGTCCTGAAGCGGGTCAAGGTGGCCACGGCCGAGCTGCAAGCGGCGTTCCTGCGGCACTACAAGGACGAGCTGCGATCCGCTCTCCCCGCTCCCTACCAGGACCTGCTTGAATACATCCACTTTGCGCCCTTCGTTTCCAGGCAGGTGGATCCGAAGTACATGGGATCCGTCTACGAGAGCGCGCGCAGGCTCTACGTCGAAGTCGCCACCGCAAAGTACCCGTCCATGAACCTCGACAACCTGCATGGCCCCGTCGACAGGCCGCTTCACCTCGGAGACTACTTTGTCAATGTCGTCATCGACCCGCAGCGCCAGGAGGAGCACTTCTTCCACGCCCCCGTCGTCGCTCAGCACCGCGCGTTCCCGGCAAAGGACAAAGAGGGAGACGTGTACCGCCGATTCTACCTCGGTGAACTGTACGTGCCCAAGGAGGTGGTTATGTTCTTTGCGCCGGCACAGTAGTCGGTCGACCTCCGGCCCGTCTCTCCATAGATCGAGGGGTGCCCTCGTCAAATGAGCGCGAGAGGCTGGCTGTATTCCTCTGCGTACGGCGCGGTCGAATAATGTAGCCCGGCACAAGCTCGTCGATCGCCCACACTGATGGGCGGTCACCTCGCCATCACGTCGCCGTCCGTCGCTATCGCCATTGCCCCGTGTCCGCGATCCCGTGCTGGCAATGGATCGTGTCCGCCCTCGACTCGCACCCTGTCCGTGCCTTTTTTCAGTTTCAACGCCCCTCTCGAACCCATCTTTGCCGTTGTATTCACGGAAGACGTATCGTTCGCATTGTGAACTGGGTATCGTCGACGGAGAGGTTGCTCGTGCGGAAAGAGCGGCCCGAGCGGGCGCAGGGTCGATGTGCGAGGCGTTGCATCGTGACAGAAATTGCAGGACCGCGGCTCATCATCCCCTTCATACACCATCTCGGCCTCCTCATTGACGGGGCCAGGCGGGGCCGATTTATCTGTCCCGTCGCCGTGGCCCACCATGCGCGCCCCGACCATGGCATATGAACCTGGCTGCAGCCTTTGATACACATTGCGTCCGTGCAATGTCGCCCACGCTCTCTGAGCTGCCGGCCGATTTCTCGAGCTTGCCAGACACTTCTCTGAGCAGTCATGCTGCTGACGGATAAAAGCAAGCTGCTTCATCGATCTTTTCCTCGACGAACTCAACTCATCCTGCCATTCCTTAGCTCCCTCTCCGTCCAGCCCATAGCACTTCAGGCGCTCGAGATGCGCCACACCTTCTGCCGCACCGTCGCTCTCTGCGCGGCGCTGCCCTTGCTCCACCTCGTACCAGCTGTCGTGGCTCCTCGCACCCCTCCCGTCGAGTCTGCCTTCCAGGCTATCGGTGACCATCTCCTCGGCGGCGAAGATGAAGCTGCTGCCCACGCGATCGATACGAGCGGGATGGAGCAAGAGCTCTGGCAACTCATTCGGGGTAATGACGCCCCCGCCGCCGCTTCCCACGCCAACTACCAGCTGAACCACCCCGACGCCCTTTACGGCCAGGGCGGCCACCAAGTCCCTCCGTTCTACCAGCACGACCACCAGGCCGCTCCGAGCTACCAGCACGACTATCCTTACGCCGCCGACCATGGCGCCAGCTTCTACCACCATGCCGGTCAGGAGATGGACTACGGCCACCCGCAGCCGGGTCACGGCTACCAGACAGGAACAGGCTATGGCCATCACCAGGCGCCGGAGCATCCCCTCTCGATCTACGACTATGCCGACCTCCCCGAAGGCGTTGTCGGTCCTCAGTCGAGCGGATACAACCACTACGGCGGCCAAGGATACGCCGGCTACCCTTCTCACGACGGGGCGGGCTCGTCTGCCCGACAACAGGTGACCTCGGAACATGCCCATCTGGCCATATTGCCAGACACGTCGGGCCAACAGCCAAAGACAGTCGGAAGCACGGTCATCGAGCGCGTCAAAAATGTCACCCCGACGCCTCCCGTCCCCAAGGACATCATCGAGGAACCTGCTTTCGAGACCGCCAAGGTCAACCGGGCACTGCGTACTTCCACTCGAGTCGAGCACATGCAACGCATCATGCTCGCGCCGCCCGAACTGCAGGGCGTGTACCTGCGACACTACAGAGAGCACCTGCTCGCCACCTTCCCCGGCGAGCTGGTCGATCGCATCCACTTTGTCCGCAACGCCGACCTCGTGTTTCCTGCCAATCTGGCCCAGACGTTCAAACGCGCACGCTACTTTTACTTTAAGAAGGAGAAGGGCGACTTCCGGATCTTTCCGTTCCGCTACGCCTTTGGCCGCATCGAGGAGCCGCTGCATCTCCAGGACTACGTGGTCAACGCCGTCGTGGATCCCGCCCGCACCGAGGGCGACTTCTGCCTCGCCTCGGTCATCGCCCAGCACCACGACTTTGCGAGCAAGGACAAGTACTCGTCCGAGTATCGCAGGTTCTACCTCGGCGAGCTGCGCATCCCCAAGCAGCTGCTTGGACCGTATGCGAAGGACTTGTAGGCGGACTGCGGGCCGCCCCCAGGAGCGTGAAGACGCGGTGCGGCTCTGTTCGGCGCTTTGTCGAAAGCCAGAGATTTGCTGGGCGCTCAGTTGTACGAGTAGAAATCAGTGAGCCGGCCAACAGACGTCCGCTCATCGAGCACTCAGAATCGTTACAAAGGACCGGTGCCCGCCGTAGTTCACGCCGCAGACGCCTCATCCCTGCATCGATGGTGACCATGGTCGCTGGAACAAGCAGCCATATCATGAGTGCGTGTGGTGCGGGGCTGGCCGTGCCACCAAAACCGCCCCGACCTTGCCAAGCTCGAGATGCGGTACAATCACAATTGTTTGTCGATATTAATCGGTGGCGACAAGCCCCGAGGAGCACTTTGTGTGGTCTCGCCCCGGGCCGCAACGAGGTTCAGATCTTTATGACCTTGTCGAGCTGACCCGCTGGTCACCCACCAGCCTCGAGGACCGATGAGCTGTGGTCACTGACACAGCAGGGAACGCCAAGGAGGTCGAAAGGCCCACATGTCATCTGCCCAACGACGTCCAGACGAGCTGCTGATAGCCTGCCTACACACACATACATAAGGCAGGTCCGATCGGTCGATCCAAAAGTTGCAGCCCTCAGTCCCCTCTCTTCTCTTCTCTCTTCTTCCGCATCCTACTTGACCATCATAATCCTCAAGCATCGCCAACCGTCCAGAATGCGCATCGAGCTCTGCCGCACGGCCGCCCTCTGCGCCGCCATCCTTCGCCTGGCCCCACCCGTCGTCGCACCCCGCACTCCGCCGCTGGAGTCTGCGATCAATGCCGCCAATGCGCATCTCTTTGGCGCAGACGATGCAGCGGCACGGGCAATCGACACGAGCGGGATGGAGGACGAGCTCTGGCGCATTATGCAAGGTGTCCCGACCGACGCCGACAGCCACTACGGTTACCACCAGGGCAATCCCAGCGTCGACCATGGCTATGGAGGATACCAAGCTGCTCCAGACGACCAGCACGGCTACCAGTACGCTGATTATGGAGCTTATCACGACCCGCATGCCGGTCACTACGCTTATGGCGGACAGTCGGCGGATCGAGGCACGGAGAGTGGAAGCTCTGCTGAGCTGCACCAGAGCGCTCCGGGCATCTATCTTGACCAGTCCCAGGGCGTCGCCAGGAAGGCGGGCAGGGCGAGCAACAGCGGACCCGCCAAAATGAGCCGGAGCCGCTCGAGCAAGGCAGCGTCGAGCCGACCGGTCATCCCCTCCGTGGTCATCAAAGACCCGCTCTTCGAAGAGAGCCACGTCAACGCAGCCCTGCTTAAGTACCGCGTGGCTGTGCCGCCGTGGCTGCGACTCATGCTCGCCCCGCCCGAGCTCCAGGAGAGGTACCTCCTGCACTACAAGACGCAGCTGCTCTCGCAGACCTCCGATGGCTTCCAGGGCTGGATCGACCTGATCCACTTTGTGCCCAGACGCGACCTCAAGTTCCCCGAACACCTCGGAAGCACGTTCGTCGCCGCGCGCGCGATGTACATGTCCAAGGGAAGAGTGAGGATGGTGGCGCTGGACCACCCGTTCGGCCTGCTCGAGGAGCCGCTGTACCTCCAAGACTACCTCGTCAACGCCTTGATCGACCCCATGCGCCCGGAACAGGAGGGCTTCTACTTCGCCTCGGTGGCCGCGCATCACCATGGCTTTGCGACGAGGGACGAAGAGGCGGACGAGTTTCGCCGCTTTTATCTCGGCGAGCTGCGCATCCCGACCGTCTTGGCCCATGCCTTCGCTAAGCAGTAGTAGCGGCGGCGGCGGCGGTGGTGGAAAGGACTCAGAAGGGCCTTTGATCGGTTGCAGTCCCTGCGCTGGTGTAGGTCGAATCCGGGAAGGCGTGGCGTTCCTTTGACCCGTTTGGGCCCGCCGCCACCGGATGGCCTGCGCAGTCACGGCTGCGATTCCGGGTTGTACTTGCGGGGCTGGAACCGCTTGTATGAAGTTCAACGAGCTCGTTCCGAATCCCATAGGCCTATTCCCTTTCCGCTGTAGTCACATAAGACTGCATGGCGGAGGCGGCGACCACCCCCGGAGGAGCAATGTTTGAAAAGGGAGCAGCGGCTTCGACAGCGTGCGAGAGTCGGCCCTCGTCTTCTCTCCTAACCACATCCCCCCCTCCCGCCTCTCCCTTCCTCTCTTGGCCAGCCTTGGCCAGTCGCCTCAACTGCTATCCACGATGCGGCTCGTAAGCAGCCAGAGACGCGCCCTGTGCGTCGCCTTCCTTCACCTCGCCCCGCTCGTGGTCGCCGTCGCACCTCGGCCCGCTTCGACCTCTCTCCGATCTGGAGTCGAGTTCATCGAGCAGCACCTCTTGGGCGAAGATGACGAAGCTGCCGAGCGTGGCGTCGGCATCGGCGCGGTGGTCGCCATGGAGAATGATTTCCTCCGCGCCCTCCAGGGTCACCACCACGATCCCCCTGCTGCTGCTACTACTGGTTCACATGGCGGATACCAGGAGGGTCCTTCTGCTTTTCATGCGCACGGCTCTGGTGGCCATCTCGCGGCAGATACCTCCCAGCGCAGCCAACAGCACGCCGGACGGGTCGATCCTTCCGTCCCGCACACTGGTGACCACCATCCTTATGGCGGCCAGGGAGCAGGTCATGGGATCGTCACGGCTGAAGACGGCTCTCGGGGCTACCATGGCTGGCTAGCGGATCCCCACGTCGACTACGCTGCGCACAGCGGACAGCACGACATGAGCAGCGCTCACTATCCAGGCGCGAGCTACGGCCAACACGACGCCGCCGCCGAGGTGCCGCTCTCCATCTCCGACTACGACATTCCCGGCAGCCTCGAGCAGGGGCCGGGCGGATACATCGTCCACGCCGGTCAGGCTTCTAGCCCTCAGACCGCGTTTCGAGGACACGTCGCTGGCATGTCACCCACCCCGGACACCGGAGCATCGCGAGCAGTCGCCGAGGACGCGGAGAGCTCTGGATCGCATCAGATCCCCGTCAGACCGGAGCGGCAACCCTCCGTCTTCGACCCTCGGGACCTTACGCGCGTCATCCGGGAGCCCCTCTTCTCAGCATCGAGCGTCGCCACGATGCTGGGTAGAGCTCCCTCGGCGCTACGCAGCGACAAGAACCGGATCCGTTTCGCCCCGCGCGCGATGCAACAGACGTTCCTGTGGCACTACCGCGCCGAGATCCTCACCCGTCTCGCGGCCTCGGACCAGGCTTGGATCAGCCTCATCTACCTCGTCCCGCGAGGCGAGACGGCCGCCCCGCAGGACCTGCTCGACATCATGCGCCGCGTCCGCCGCCTCTACGTCGACAACGACGGCACGCCCAGATTGACGCCCGTCACCTACGCCTACGGCCCGCTCGAGGAACCCCTGCACCTCGAGGACTTTGTCGTCAACGTCGTCGTCGTCAATGACGATCAAGCCAGCCGAGGCGACAAGGGCTTCTTGCACGCTTCCGTCATCGCGCAGAGGGACGACTTCCCCACCCGGACCGCCCGCAAGACCGAGTTTCAGCGCTTCTACCTCGGCGAGATGCGGCTGCCCAAGCCGCTGGCCGACCGCTTCAAGCGATAAGGAGTGGGCGGCCACCGCTGCGCTGCTCTCACGTGTATCTCTCTTGATTTCTCGCCGATTCCAGGCCTCCTCCTCACCGCCTCGGCTTTGCGACGGGTACAAATGCCTCGAGCGGGCTCTTTGACATCTCCCTCCTCGCCCGTTCGCGTTCCGACTCTTCCGACTCAAACTCGGCCCTTTTGGCCTTTCTCCTCTGGACGGCATCGAGGATGGGGCTCGAGAGCTCTTGCTGCTGTTGCGGGTCCGCTGTTGCCGATGATGCCGATGCCGATGCTGCTGCTGCTGCTGCTGCTGCTGCTGCTGACGCTGACGCTGGTGCTGATGCGGCCTGGCTGACTTCTGGAGGGGCGGGTGCGTGGCCCTGTTGCGCTAGCCTGGCCCTGCTGGCGGCCCACACGTCGTTGTCGGGCACTCGCTCCTGGCGGAAGGCTGCGTCGCTGCCCTCTGCGGTGCCTCGGGGATGCAGCGTCTGCGGGTCCGGGTCCGACTCCTCATAGGCTACGCGGCGTTGGCGTTCGGCCTCTGCCTGGACGTCTTGGACCGTCGATGTGGGCACTGCGCCCGCCGCTGAGCGGGAAGCAACGAGCTTCTGCTGCTGTGCGCGCTGCTTTGCGAGGTTGTGCTCCTCGAGTCGGAGCTGCTGGAGGCGCTGCCTTTCCTCCTGGTCGCGGATGGCGAGTACGCGGGCGTTGTGCTGGACCATTTCGATGCGGGCGCGATCCTGCTCGAGCTCGTGGATCGAGGGCGGGTCGCGGCGGGTGTGCCTGAGCCACATTGTCCACTGTACGGGGAGGGAGCGCTGGTCGTATTCGCCGTGGTGCATCTTTTCCTTCCACTGGATCATGCGGCGGGTGTGGCGCGGGTCGGTGGAGCCGTGGAGCGAGGGGAGCTCGAGGTAGGCGTTGCCCGCCAGGTCGTAGCCGACAATGTGGCGAGCTTTGCCGATGTTGAGCAAGCGCGCGGCCTTTTGGAAGATGCTGGCCATGTTGGCGGGGGGGTGGATGATGGTGTTGGTGGTGGTGGTGGTGGTGAGCGCGCAAGGCAGAGAAGAAGAGACAGACAGCCAGCCAGGCCAAGGCAGAGGCAGGGGCCCAGCCAGGCTGACCAACGAAAGGGCCCCCGCCAGCCAGCCCTCCCTCCACCTCTGCGTCTGGCCTTGCCTGCCTGCTCGGCCGCCTTGCTTCTTCCAAAATTCCAAGCCAGTCGCCCGATCCAAGGCACGCGATTAAATTCCCAGATCGGGCAACCAGCGCCGAGGGGGAGGCAGCTCAGGCCAGGCAGGCCCAGGTGTTGGTCTCGCGGCGCAGCTGGCCAACCAGCAAACCAACGATCGGGCCAGGCCTGGCCAGGCACAGAGCGGGCAGGGCGCGTGAGGCGAGGCCACTGGAGCCTCAGCCAACGGTGTTGGTCTTGTCGAGGCGCGGCGCGGCGCAGGCTTGCCAGGTGGTGACGCACAGCCAGCCACAGACGGCCAGATCTGCTGGTCGTCTGGCGCCTCATTTTTTCTTCACTTGCCCGTGGCATTCCGCTTCCTTCTACCTCACACCACCACCACCGCCATCCTCCTCCCTCATCCCTTTGGCCTGCTGCTTGCAACTCTGGTCCCCCTTTCGCTTCGCCATCGGCTGCCCTGCTCTCCGCGCCTGCACGCCCGCCACACGACCCAACACCCGCCACCAGCAACACCCCTTGGCACGCACTCTCCTTCCCTCCCGTCTCGCCGCTCCGTTCTCTCCTCGCCCGACATGTCGGCCGCCGCCCCCTCGGAGCCCCTGGCCATGCTCGCCAACCTCCTGGCGCAGACCCTTGACCCCGTCAACCGCAAGCAGGCAGAGCAGCAGCTCAGCGACGCGCAGAGGCATCCCGGCTTCCCCCAGCTCCTCCTCACCCTCATCCAAAACACACAGCTCCAGAGCAACGACGCCGTGCGCCTCGCCGCCGCAATCAAGCTCAAAAACGTATGCAAGTCGTCCTGGACCGAAGACGCAGAGTCGGCCGCCGACGCCCCCGGCACCCTCCTCCTCAGCCAGGACGACAAGGACGCCCTCAAGGCAAACATCCTCCCTCTCCTCGTATCCCTCTCCACCACCACCGCGGGCCAGCCCCCAGCACCCACCAGCCTCCGCTCCCAGCTCGAGGAGACCATCGCCGTCGTCGCAGAGTGCGACTTTCCCGACCGCTGGCCCGCCCTCATGGACGACCTCATCCCCTACCTCAAGGCAGACGACTTTGAGCTCATCCAGGGCGTCCTCCGCACCTCGCACACCATCTTCTACCGCTGGAGGTCCGCCTTCCGCAGCAACGCCCTCTACACCGAGATCAACTTTGTCCTCGAGCGCTTCGCCGTCCCCCTCCTCGAGCTGCTCCAGCGCGTCGACAGCCTCCTCTGCGACCCGGCAACGCCGCCCGCCGCCCTGCCTTCGCTCGGCAAGTGCATGGTCCTGATCCTCCAGACCTTCTACGACCTCTCGGCCCAGGACCTGCCGCCCCAGTTCGAGGACAACATCGGCCCCATCACCGAGACCCTGGCCCGTTGGATCTCGCAGGGCCGCGCCGAGCTCGACGCCGACCCAGAGGAGCCGTGCGCGCTCCAGGAGATCCGCAGCAGCATCTGCGAGATCGTCGAGCTGTACGCCAAGCGCTACCTCGACGCATTCCCGCAGCTGCCCAACTTTGTCCAGGCCATCTGGGAGATGCTCGGGACGTGCACCCCGGCGGAAAAGTACGACGTGCTCGTCTCCAAGGCCGTCGGCTTCCTCTCGACGGTGGTGAGGATGGGCAGCCAGCGCGAGATGTTCCAGTCGGCCGGCACCATCGAGCAGCTGTGCAGCGCCATCATCCTGCCCAACATTGTGCTGCGCGAGGCCGACGAGGAGCTGTTCGAGGACAACCCGATCGAGTACATCCGCCGCGACTTTGAGACGAGCGTCGAAAACGACACGCGCCGCAAGGCCGCCTCGGAGTTCTGCCGCGCCCTCATGGAGCACTTTTCGACCCAGGTGACGTCGGTCGTGTCGCGCTACATTGGCGAGTACCTCGAGCAGTACCGCGCCGACCCGGCGGCCAACTGGAAGCAGAAGGACACGGCCATCTACCTGCTCACGTCGATCGCCTCGCGCAGCTCGACGAGCCAGCAGGGCGTCACGTCGACCAACAACCTGGTCGACGTGGTGCAGTTCTTTTCGGACCACGTGTTTGCCGACCTGCAGGCCTCGAGCGAAGAGTCGCCCAGCCCCATTCTCCAAGTCGACGCCATCAAGTACCTGCACACGTTCCGCAACCAGCTGACAAAGGAGCAGCTGCTGTCGGTGCTGCCGCTGCTGGTCAAGCACCTCGAGTCGTCGCAGTACGTCACGTGCTCGTACGCCTCGATCACCATCGAGCGCGTGCTGGCGCTCAAAAAGGACGGCCGCCTGCTCTTCACGCCCGACGACGTCCAGCCTTTTGCCGAGAGCATCCTGATGGCCCTCTTCCGCAACATTGAGCGCGGCACGACGCCCGAGAAGCTGGCCGAGAACGACTACCTGATGAAGTGCGTGATGCGCATGCTGGGCACGTCGCGCAACGCCATCGCGCCCGCCTACGCGCCCATCCTCGAGCACCTCAGCGGCATCCTCGCCGAGATTGCCAAGAACCCGTCGAACCCGCGCTTCAGCCAGTACCTCTTTGAGTCGATCTCGGCGCTGATCCGCTTCACGGTCGCCGCGCAGCCTAACAGCCTCGCTGCGTTCGAGGGCCGCCTGTTTGGCCCCTTCACGGCCATCCTCCAGAACGACGTGGCCGAGTTTGCGCCGTACGTCTTCCAGATCCTGTCGCAGATGCTCGAGCTGCACCGGGGCCAGGCGCTGCCCGAGGAGTACGCCTCGCTGCTGCCGCCGATCCTGATGCCGGCGCTGTGGGAGGCGAGGAGCAACGTCCCGGCGCTCGTGCGGCTGCTCAAGGCTTTCCTGTACGCGGACGCAACGCGCATCGTGGCCAACGGACAGCTGCAGAGCGTCCTCGGAGTGTACCAGCGCCTGATCCAGAGCAAGCTCAACGACGGCTTCGGCTTCGAGCTGCTCGAGGTCGTGTTCGAGACGGTGCCTAGGTGAGTAGGCCGGCCGGCGCGTCCTCCCCTCCCCAGCCGCCGTTGCGACGACCGGATGGTCCGCTGACATGCGCTTCTTTTGCCTTTCGCTCGCTTGCTTCGCCCTTGGGCCGCCCGCCCTTGCAGCGCCGACTTTGAGCCGTTCCAGCGTGGCGTGCTGATGCTGATCCTGACGAGGCTGCACGCGAGCAAGACGGACAAATTCGTCAAGTCGTTCAACCACTTTGTCGCGACGGTGGCGTGCCTGCAGAAGGAGGGCTACCCGGACGCCGTCGTGGCGGCTTTCGACAGCGTGCAGCCGGGCCTGTTTGCGCAGCTGGTCGAGGGCGTCATCCTCGGTTCGCTGGGCCAGACGCCGGAGCGGCAGCGCCGGGTGGTGGCGGCCGGGTTCGGGCGGCTGCTGGTGTCGCCGTCGTTCCAGGTTGGAGCGCTGGCGTCGCTGTGGACGCCGCTGTGCCAGGCGCTGCTGTTGTTGTTCCTGCTGCCGCTCAACACGTTGAAGCGGGGCAGCGGTGCCGATGCGGCGGCCGAGGAAGAGGAAGAGCTCGAGTTTGCCGACGCCGAAGAGGGCTTCCAGGCGAGCTACTCGCGGCTGGCGGCGAGCGAGACGTCGAAGCGCGACGTGGCGGCGTGGGCGGGACCGGACGTCAGACAGTGGTGGAAGACGCAGATGGGGCGCCCCGAGTTCCAGGCGGGCTACGCCGGCGTCGACGCCGAGGCGAGGACCAGGTTTGAGAGTTTGTAGGGCGCGGGTCGTGACGACGGCGACGACGAAGGCGACGATGCAACGCAGACCTGTGCCGTAGCCGGCCAGGCTTTGATGAATAGCGATGTGTGTGAGGCCAGCGACGTGGGCCGACGGCCGTGGCAGGCAGCGGCGGTGGGTCCATGCACGCACGCGCGACCGGTCGCCTGGCTTGCCTCTGGGAAAAGCCGACCAAGGGGCCGAGGTGGAGAGAAGGCCTGTCTGGCCTCGAGGGGTCCACCCATCTTCCTCTCTCTCTCTCTCTCTCTCTNCTCTNCTCNCTCTCTCTCTCTCTCTCTCTCTCTCCTCTCCTCCTCCTCCTACCTCCTACGTCCGTCCGTCTCCTCCT